TGTTCAATATGGGAATTATTGGATGAGAGATTCTGATCTTTGTAGGAATACAGGCAGACTAAATGATTGCAATATCCTGATCTGACCCTGAAATCCGTGAATTTCCAGCCCAAAATGGCCACATGGAATTGATGCACCCATAAATGGAACATCTGCTGATTGCCTGAGGACAATAGAAAATTCCAGTTGAGGGAATCAGAAACATTTGCTCTGGCATAGGTACTTGCAAAAGGCCATTTAACCACGAGCCTGCTCTCATGACGTTGTATTCAAGAACTGTCCATCCAACAGCCCTAGCTTTTTCTTTCTTTCCTCTATTATGAACAATAAAGCCAAACTGTGTGTACACACACCCTTGTACATACTGTTTTTTTAAAAGGTTCTGCTGCTTTGTACCATGTCGACTGTTAAGGCAAACTCACAGAAGCCAGTAATTCCCACTGCACGAGTATGCCGGTCCTTGGAGTGTTTGCTGCCTACAGCAGCTACTTAATTGGCAAGTTTGTTTCAAGCAGGTGGAACCAATTAAAAAAACTCTTCAGCTTTAATAAACTGATACCCTACCACTCACACTAGAATATTCCTTTTGAGAGCTTTACATCATCCTCATATGTTGTTTTATGTCGGTGCCCCCAGCTCCCAAGAAACATGGAGCTAAAGTGAAAATGCTGAAGTGCTTCCAGCATGAAGCTGCTTTTTTATGTAATTATGCCTGCTGCTAATAAACCTTCCATTACAGCTATGGAACAGGTTTTGCTAATCCGTTACAAATGATTGATTGGATTTAAAAACACTGCTTCAAGCGCACCGGTTTTCACATCGAGCTCAAATTGTCAGATTTCAAACACTTTTACCCTCCATAAGTGACAAGGTGGGCCATTTTCAACAGCTATTACCTAGAGGAAGTGTTGAACTTATCACTTGAACTCTTTCAGGGATTCACCTGCAAAGTACTTGACTGAAAATAACGAGACTGGCTCTGACCATTTCTGGTATGAGTGTGAGCATCAGGCTCTAAGACTGGGCTTGCTGCATAAATATCACCACTAACCAGCACTGCCTGTCGTGCTGCAGCTTCCCTGAACGGGTGAACACATAGGTAAATCAGCTTGAAATTTCTGACAAATCTCCTATTAGATAAATTCTAAAAGAAATTCTCATCGAAGATAGGGGAGATTTAGCTAAATAGAGTTTCTCAGGTATTTCGGGAAACATTCAGTCAGCATTAAGATACATAAACACAGATGTGTAAAAATGCAGGTGGAAAATGCCTGTTAATATCAGGGAAGCTTAGACAGCCAAGCATCTCACCTGACAGTGGACACCTTCTCACAGGGCCATGAAATCATGCCTTTGCACCACTGGCTGTAGGGAGTTGAGGTTCATTCAGTTGTTTGCTCCTAAATCTCTGCTGCTCTTTCAGAAGTACTATAGTATTCCACAAAACCTGCCCTGGCAGCTGCGTGAGTATCTCCCAGACTTGCACCATATCCAGCCCAGCCCAGCCCTAGGTGGATGTCCTAGACAACTTGAGAACAACCCAAGCAGCACCAGACACCTGAGAGTAAAGAGCAGAGCACGCAGCTCACCTGTAGACAGACACGTGCATATGAGGGTTGTAACCTTAAACAGCATGTCTGAAGCTGATGAACTGAGGGAGAGCAATTGGTTGTTCTTCCTTGAGCAGCATCTTAAAAAAGTATCCAACAAAATACAGCAGAAACCTCCACGATAAATTATCTAGTTTATTTTTCTCCACAGTAAACGTTCTCTTTACCTCTCTCCCTACTTAGTACTGCTTAAAGCAGCAGGTAGTCAATGAAATAGCAGGAAAAAACAACCCAAACCAATAAGTCTGCTCAGATTCAGTTGCACATCACATCTCCACAATGCCAGGTGGGTAGAAAGGCCCAAGATGAAGATAAAATTCTCTCTACAACTCTCCCTACATCACAACTTTAGCATAATTTAGCAAATGCAACCCCTTTTATACAAGGTTACAACCACGGAAACGGCTTTTTCTTGTGTGAGTTGCACTTACACACTGCCATCTTGTGTTAATAACCGGTTTTGCTGAACTTTGAGAGCCTAACACATTCTAGATACTTTAGCGAGGATGAAAACAGATACTACGTCCATAAGGTGGGTTCCCCTGCCTGTCCCCTCCAGAACAGGGAAGGAGAAGAGAAAGCAATTTTCATTATTCACATTTGTCAATGTGAATTCACAAATGCAGATTTGAAGGAGCCTTGTTTCAAGCAGGACTTTAACAAGGGTGAGAAACTCAGCTGCAACTCTTGTTCAAGAGTTTCAACGTCAGCTCTTTGAGGCCCACTAAATTTGAAATCCCACTCATTTGCTCACAGACAAGCTAATGAAACAACCCAGTTTTTTGCAGACATTTTGTGAGAAAATTAAATTGGAGCCCACATGGAAGTACTTGACACCACTTAGGAAAAGCCAGCCTGGCTCAGCGTACACCACTCCAGACTGCAGGTTGCTGAGTTTTCTTTCCATTTTTCACCACCAGGCAATTTCCATACCCAAATGATTCCCAGGAACAGAGCAATGTGATGGGGCTCAGGATGTAAAAGACAGCATGGCCATCTCTGACTTTTCTCAAAGCTTTGCTGCACAACACAATGATGGGAGAGGAAATGGATAGGTTAGGATAAATTCACTGGTGCCTTGCAGGCTGAGAAACTTTGACCTGTGACAAGAAAAAAAATCAGGTAAAATTGTGTCTCTCCGTGTATTTCAGGGCTGGTGATGGAGACTGTGGGTATCTGAAATTTGGAGGGGGTGGGACAGAAGCAGTGGTTGATGCTGTGTACAATAAAAGAAGTCTGAAAACTACAATATAGGGGGGCATCCACACCATCTGCCTTCAGGTGTGTGCCTTAACAGAGAGCCAGATCTGCACAGCACCTAGTTTGGGTTCCTATTGTGAATATCTCTCAGGGAAGCAAGCATCTTCCACAGGCAGCAGAAAGGATCCCAGGCTCCCAGAGAGCTGTGTGAGCAGGCAGTTTGACTATCTCTCCATAGTCTGTATTTGAGGACTGGGGTCTTCATATCCCAGTGTCCTCACCTGTGGTCTACCATGTCATTACTTACCACAACAGTAGAAACAAAATGAAATATCTTTACCAGTCCACATTAACCAAATACCAAAATCCAAGGCCAAGTCACAAAGGTGGGCATGGTTGATGAGGTATTTTAGATTTTTATGACAGTTTTTAAAGGAAAAATTAAAAATAATGCTTGGCACTTTGCAATTCAGAATTTATTAGCTGGGAGTTCCTTGGCATAAGGCAGCACCCATCTGTTCAGAGGAAAGATCAATAAACCAAAGGAAAACAGGAGGCATGCTGAGCTACAAGTAGGAGAAGTTACAGGAGACTCACACAGGTGAAGTTCTTCCACTACACCAAAACAGCATGATCTTCCTTTGTTGTCCCCAGATATCACAGCCAGAGTCACTCTTCCCAATCTGCTAGCTCTCCTATCCACCCCCGAGATTGCTTGAGAGGAAGGAGCACCCTAAACTGCTTTGGAAGCCTCATGCAGCTCTTCATGGTGCCAGGTACAAGCTCATACTCAGAAGCCCTCCTACACCTCCCAGCTGTCCTCTTCCTTGGTTTCATCCACAAAATGGTCCCCCAAACTCCTCTGATCCATACCCCATGTTTTCTTCACTGCTTCCAAGGATATGGACAGAGAAGGGTACTTTACTGGGCATGAAGGGATTTGGGGAAGCCACTGACTAAAGCCATTTCAGAGCCACCACTGAAAAACACACAGCACACATTCTAACTGTGTTTTCAGGAGGAGCAGAACCTAACCCAAAGACCTGTTTTGTAGCCACAGCAGAGAAATTCTGGGGAACATCCACCTCTTCCAATTGTGTTTCGGGTATGAGCACATAGTCTCGCTACTTTTATTGAATGCTGAAGGCAAAAAGCATGAGGAGGTTGATGAGAGAACTACACAAAGAATTTGGCATGAACTATAAAGGAAAAGAGAAAAGCAAGAACTACTGTTCTTGCACATATATAGGTGAACATCTTAAATATTTTCCCCAAGATGAAACTGAAACAATTTTATATTTCAACACATTACCTTAGACATATTTAGCTGAAGAGAGAAAAAAAAAAGAGCTTCTAATAAATGCAACATCAGAATTTTTATTTACAAATAGACTGTCATTCAACAACCATTCTCCACTCAGTTTGTGGAGGAAAAAGTGATAGTTACACTTTCCAAATGGGAAAAGAAAACTCTCCCCCTTGAATGGATTCCACAGAATATTATGCCAACACCACTGAGCAAACTGGTTATTCTTTGTATTTAAGTCTCAAAATAGCACATAATTTTATAAACCAGCATATGCAAAGCAAACACACTCCTGTGCATTTAAATGCAGCTTCATATTAACCTAGAGAATTCACTTTCAGTATATGTCAAAAATAAAGACAGCAATTGCAAAAATGTATTTATATTACCTATTTTTCTAATGCTCATTTCAAGAGCTTAGAAACAAAATACCCTCTTCATATACCATTGGAAAGTCAACTAGTTGATTATAAGCCTCAAAAATATTTTGAAGTTATTACTGAAAATATAGTTATTCTCTCTTGTGCTCTCAGTACTTTAAGCTGAAAATGTGAAAGTATTTTTCCCAGATATTTCCTTACTGCAATTACTTTCTTATAAATAAAAATAGTTATATGCAGAATACAATGTATTGCTATGAAGACTAGACAAGCAAGAGTTACTCTTAGAAAAAAACACACATACACAATATATATATTTATAGATCTACATCAGCAGCAATCACCTCTTCTTTTATTTGCAACAGTGATTTCATATTTTCATTTGCTTCACATGGAGGTTGGTTGTCCAGCTGTTAGAGAGAAACAGAAGAAATTGTAAGTAAAGTCTAGTTACTGAAGAACCTTTTTAACAAAAATTAACATTTCCAAGTTTAAAATAGTCAGAAAATGGTTTTTCCAATACTTATTGAAAATTGTAACACAAACTAAAGTATACATTCTGAATCAAGCAATCCAAATTTAATGAAAAATACAAATTTGAGTTTAATCCAATTACAGCACTGCAATTATTTCAGGCCAAGTAATATTCCACAGAACATGCACCTTACCAAGTTTTTAAGAACTATTTTTAGCATTAGCATAGAGAAAGACTGACAGTTTTTCTAAATTTACCCTTCAATAATGAAATTGAAACTTGCTAAATACCTGTAACAATATAAAGAACTTTTTCCTATTATCTCTCTGCATATCTTTGTGGGCATCTGCCAATACACTTGTGTTCCACCACAATGTTCCAAGTTCAAACCACAAAATTAACATAAAAATGTGCAAAAATATCACACCATAACATTGCACGGTGAATATTAATAACCCTACAGTTTATCAAACCTTTTTGCCGATATGTTCACGTTCCAAACTAACGAATAATTAGCCAGCCTGACGTTAAATGACAACTGCAAAAAAAAAGTAATCTGCATCACAGACCTCTGCTGTGCTGCCAATGTATTTTCACTGCAGTAATTGCATAGCTGGTTTTTGTGTTATTCAAATAGCCGATTTCAATTACTCATCACTAATTTAAATACTTTATTCTGTACCTATAAGTTCTTACAGTTCCCAATTTACTTGTATCTCATACAATTATGTTTTGAGGTGCCCACTGGCCCAAGTAGATGCAGTCTGAAGGGAAGGGAATAGAACCATTTATTTACAGATCAGCTCTGCTTCTGAAAGGCACTGCTGTGACTTTATGGGCTGTAATGTCAAAAACAGACTCAACAGCAATTCATCTTTCATAAAATTACTTATTCAAGTCATTGAACAATTTTTCCCCCTCAAAAGAAAAGACAGAGATAAAAATAACATGAGCAAGCTCCAGAGTGGATCTCCCTCAAATCTGGGTACTTCAAACAGGAACACAGTCACTTCAGTGTAGTCTTGCCACCAAGGAGAGACATTCTCCAAACATTAACTCAGAGATATGACCCAGCGCTCTGGATCACCTCCAGATGGAAGGGGGTGATTCTCTTCCTCCTTCCACTGGTCACAGTGGCATCTTTGCACTTAACATTAGCCTCTGTGAACACCCTGTTAGCCTCACAAGGTGTGAAGTTTTCTAGTTTTAGCTTGGGCACCACACAACCATTTCTGTGACTTCCCCTTTTTTCTGGAAGCCGAAAAGAGCGTGAAAACAGCAACAGCATCAGATGCAGAGCTTCTCTTTTTCTGAGCTAGGTTTCTCAGCCAGCAGCTGCCCAATTCCTGCTGAAATGCTGTAGCATGAGTATCCCTGTTCCCTTCACTGCCTTCTGGTCCACTGTGAGAAAAATGTGCTGGGCTCATAAAGAAACACGGAGATCTTTCCCAGGAAGTAATTCAGAAACGTTTTCCCTTCCCTGAATTTTATCATCCTAAAGAACTACATATTTGCTATATAAAAAGGAGCCATATAAAGCTCCCAAGACTTGTCAAAATTAGGAGGATATCTACCATCATCTATGACAGCAGAAAAAAGGACCTCAACACCACTATACAAAGCCTTAACATCATGCTCCAGTAAATCAGAATTCTGCAAACCATAAAAAGGAAAAAAATTATACTGCACCTTTTAATTAAGATCTGTAAGTAAATCAATTCCTCCTGAACTTGTACCTAAATGAATAACCAATTACAGATCTATAATTCCAATAACAATAGCATCACAAAAAGAAACCAGCATTTGTGCCACCTGCACAGGATAAACTAACAGCTTTCCAGGTATGCATTAGGACTGAATTAAATACATATTTCAGATTACTTTTTTTTTAAACATGTTGACACTTTTTCAAAAAGGCTTCTCTGTTAACAAGACAAGCCTGTTTAGCACCTGACAACTCCCTGACACCACTTTCTTAGATCTATGAAGAAGGTAAGATGACTACACCATACTGTCTGTTTGAAGCTGCATAACAACAAGGTGATAAAATCAGCTACCAGCAAGTTAAAAGTTAGAAACGGCTACCCTAAAAAGACAAACAGGCAATCAAACCTTGGTTCTTCTTCCTTATATATATTCACTTATTCACTTCCTTATTATATTCACTAATATACCAAATGAAAGCTAAATGTAACAGCTATCAAGTCGTACAGCACAGAGAAGAACTACAGTCATGCACACTTGCAGTTGGATTGCCTTACTTTTAAATCTGATATAGCAGTCGTTGCAGAAGAGTTGGTTGTTTCGGATTCTAACTTCAGCTCCAGAGCGGGATCCACCGAGGTCGCATCCACAGGCAACACACTGTATCATAGATAAATAATTAGCAACTTCTTTCAAAATACTAAGAAACTAAAATGCTGTTCAAAAGCAGCTCAGATTAAGCTCAACAAAGCTTGAACCATAAACCCACAATCAGCTAGAAGCAAATGTGTGACGATTAGTAGATCAAAATGCAACCAACCCTAAGAAAGTATTTAAAGGTGACGACTGGACAATGAATAGCAGAGATACACCAATTAAGCAAACATAAAGCAGACGATTTTTAGTGATTAGTTCATTAAATTTAATTTGAACTTTGGTTTCTCTGAAAACTCTGGCTTGGCATGAAAAAAATTTGTTCTCTAGATGGCAACAGTAATTTTGGCACAGAACACCTGGGTGTGTTACTTGCAGATTTCCATGTGGCACTACATGCTGCTGGTGTCCTAAGTCCTCTGGCACTCACAGCAGCAAATACTCAGGCACTCCCAATTTCCTGGGTTTGCATCATCAAAACAAGTTCTGATTTGGAGAGATGGGGTTAATTTAATTTTTCTTGCATAAACACACAAGGGGCTTGAATGCTTTCATGCTAACATCAAACTATTTAGCTATCGTGGCTAAACATGTATTTGCTGTGAATATGAACCGCATCTGGAAGGAATGTAACCCAAAACATAACACTCCCCTTACTGAATTTAGAAAGCACAGATAGTTTCCCTGCTTAACCAAGTAATGAATCTTTTGGATGGCAGTCTGTTCAACAGCTCATTAATCTTCAGAAATTTGAAAAACAGAAACTTGGTATTTTCTTATGTAGGTTAGGAGCTACAGGTGGACTCCCTTTCACAGAATACATGTCCTGCAGAAAGAGAATGGCAACCAGTCCCCATGGATTAGTCCTGATCCTCCTGCTCAGGCAGGCAGATCAGGAAGAGCTTTGAGTCAATCCCTTGTAATATTCCAGGTGATGCAATTGAGCTGGGCACAGAAGAAAAATGTTCTGAACCAGGCACAGAAGTCTCTTTCTTGAAGTCATGGAAGAAGTAGGGCCCAATAGCATCTTCAAATCAGAGCGTAATTCCTCATCTGGTCCATGTGCAGGGGAACTAAGACTGCTTTGCCATCTTTTGCAGGCAGGCATTTATTCTTTCAGCTCTGCATATGCCCCAAGCTGATGGCAAATCATCTAAGTATGTCTCAGTGCCGAGCATAACCTTATATTCCTAGTTTCTGACCAGGGCTGAGTAGCACTAAACACAGCTTCTGGTCTGGTTCTTGGTTTTATCCTGCCAGGCTGAACTCTGCAAGCATGTCTTTACCTGAAAAACACTATGTGAACATTGTCTGCTGAGATTAGCTTAGAAAGGATGGATCCTCTTAAATGATTCAACTGCCAGGTCCAGGCTGAGATTTTATTTTTTATTAGAGGAGCTGCTTTCTCTGTGAGAAGTGGTTCAGTATCTTCTGACATTTTGCTGCCCATTCAAAGAAGAAAGAACTTTGATCTCACAGTCAAAGTGCTCATCTTACTTATCAAAGTCCTACTTGTTAGCTCTGGCATTTAAGAAACGCTTCTGGAGTCAAGTGCTAAATGCCTGCAGACAGGACTGCCTCATGGAAATATGCATGCACCACGCTGTCAAGAGTAGAAGGCAAAGCAGGTGATTAGTAAGACCCCTCTGAGCATAACACTGAGTAGCCATGCGTGCTCCTGATTAGTTCCTGTTCCTTCATGATGTGACTCCCAGCTCTCACCTTAAAGCAATGTAAATGATAACAAAGACCAAGAGACTCAATGATCATGGCTGCTCCTTTGCCCAGAACGTTATTACAGTATGAACAGATTTTCTTCCCACTGACTGACCTAAATATAGAATGAAAAACCTTAAAACCAGCTTGAAAAGGTTTAAAAGACAAAGAAAAGTTATCAAGTACTTTTTGGAATTAAAAATAAAAAACACATGGGTAAAAAGTGGACTATTAGGCTGCTTGGGGAAAATAAACTGAAAATTAATATTATTTACAGTAGATCTGAAAGCTAGGGAAAGCTGAAGTGTTACAATTTATATGAAATTTACATAGGAACAAATTAAGAAATTCTGTCACACTCTTGGCAGATATTTCATTGTATAAAATGCCTCCTACAAATAAAAAGTGTACTGTTAAGTTTGGAGAGTAACCACACAGGCTTTGTGCTCCTGCCTTCTTATTTGTGGGGTACTATTCAGGAGGCCAAGTTTTAGCAAGCACCCTTGCCAAGACCCACCATCTGCACCTTGATAGAAAAAGGAAGGCTAGTCCTGGACATATAATATTAGGCTAACTCTTGGAAGATAAGCCATATGGAGGTCAGTTTCCATAGATCTACCAAGATGTTAGGAAATGGAAGTGAGAACAAGATAAAAAAACATGGTTAAGAAGGTAATTTTCTTACATTATATAGAACATAAAAGCCTAGTTTTAAAAAACAACAACAAAAAAAGTCAATTTATCACTAAGTGCCTGAGAAGTGTAAGAGCTAGTGAAGTAGTGTTCACTGTTGCTATATATAAAACATGTAACTGTGTGGGGATGGTTCTCTGTAGTCTTACCCCAAGGTATTTTTAAAATGTTTCAAGTACATAAAAACAGCAGTTATCTACCATACCACAACTGAATTCCTTTTTTTTTTTTTTTTTTTCCAAAATATGTTGCAATTCTTGCTTTCTCCTCCTAGATTAAAACCAACATCCTACTCTGTAATTCTCCAGGGTCACGGGTTATGAGCATTCCTGAGTGCTCCTTAAGATGATATTGGCCACATGCCAAGAAGAGAGGAGGAGAGACCAAGATGAGGGTCATAAAGTGTGGGTTTCAGGAATCTTTTGTTAAAACAAACCAAGGAAAATAAATGTCAGAAATGCCATCTGGAATAGGCTTTTACTAATCATTTCAGTAACCAACACACAGCTCGGAGACTGCAGACTTATTATTTCAGTTCCTTTGTTTTTTTAACCGATGTCAAGCAGTGATGACAAAATTGGAATTTTTTGAGTGACTGGAGTAGGGAGGTAATATGAACCTGTACTTCCACTGTCCCCTTCAGCCAGAAAAGTCCAGGTACTTGTTAATCTATATTATGGACAAGAACCCTGCTGTAGAGCACCATATACACGCTCTTTAGTGCTACCCAGAATTTGTACCTTCCCAGCAGGAGGGCATACACTCACCTGCTGCGTGTCTGGGACCCTGGCTGGGAAGCAGAGACGGGAGACTGAGCCCGGGGGGCTGTCTGGGACATGGATGGGGCTCTTGCTGAGGTGGCCACAGGAGGGGTTTTGCTGGAAGAAGGAGTGCACATGTAGGCTCGGTTTGAAGTGGACACCGGGCGACTAAAATCTTGACTAGAAGACAGAGATGAAGAAGAGGCAGAGTGGTTCAGCCATGAGTGGTGCCTCCAGGAGCTTGTTCTGGAAGAATCAAGATTGTCCAAAGACTCCCCCCTGCAACAGAGATACATGTAGCTCAAATGTAAATGGCAGTACAGCTGGAGCAAAAGAGCTACATTCTGATTTTTTAAAAGAGAAAACCACTATCCTAGCATCTTTAAGATTTTCTAGCACGAACTATATTTGCCTGATCACTCTGATCAATGTTCTTCACACACTGATTTAAAATGTATGAATAGCAAATTATCCTCTGTGCTCAGCCCTAGTTCTCATGGGAAAAAGTAGGTGAGGCAAAAGAAAGGTGACACTTAACGACTACTTAATAAAAGCAAAACACTCTTCACTGCAGCTTTATCAAGGGGAACTGTATCAAAATCCACAGAACAGCAACAGACCTCAGATACCAGGTTTGTTTTTGTTTTCTCCATGGGATACCAGATTGAAAATAACAATCCACCCAGACCGGATAGCATCACCTAGGTACAAGGTGTTGGCCCAATATCCAAACACTCTCCTGACTGATAACTCGGCTGTTTCCTAAGTGACAAATCTAACATTCATCCATTAAATAAAGCAAAAAAAACCCCATCCAAACTTTCTGACATATTTCTACGTTAAAAAAGGTATATGCCTTAGCCATAATAATTAATTTCCACAGTAAGTTGTCATGCTGAAATTCTTAAGCACATCTGCCAATGACAAGCACACCATTGATTTCCATTGCTGCTATACCAACCAAGAAATAAGCAGCCGAGTTATATACAGGACATATTCACATTCCTTATTTGCAAAAAATCCACTTAATCCCAGCTGTAATATAGCTACTTTCTTCTATCTGTGCTGCTATGCAATTTACCTTTCAGCATTTCACAGACTCAACTTTATTTCTGTGCTCTGTAATACAACCTGAAGTTCAGAATAACCAAACAAAAATATCTGATGAGAGACAAAGTTAATTTTTAATGTGATTCCTACCTCCTCATACTATTGCTGTAGAGACTAATGGGCTCCTTATGTACACTGGAGCTGCGCTGCCTTATCCAGCTGCTGTCTGTGTGTAGAGATGTTTTCTTTCTCATTTCCTGAAGAATTTGCTGTCTCTCCAACTCTGCTGCAGAGAGGTTTTGTTCCTTCTGAGGCTTCTTCTGTGACTCACCCATGTTCCAGGACCTCTCTGAAAACTTGCTCTGGGTACCTGTGTGGACAACATGTGCAAACTTCAGCCAGACACCTTAAGGCACAAAAGTAGTTATCATGCTGTCAGCACTCTGGCTAGAACTCCAAAAGCTACAGTTCTTCATTGTATGTACAAGTTTCTCCAGTTCTGTTTTACAGATGGGAAACCTGTACCAAACTTGGCAATACATTATTATTGTTATAATTCTTTTATTTGTATTTTCACTAATGTGGCCTTTTACATAATCCTTAACTGAAATACAAGTATTTTCCTTCACTTCTTTAAGTGTATATACACATTGATATTTGTGTGTACATACATATATATACACATATGTACTTTTAAAAGGACGTGGTCTCTTTTAGTGCCTCTTTTAATTTGGACTCTTCCTCTAATACAAACTGAACTATGTATAAAATACACAGTTGAATAGTGGGAAACCCTTTCCTTTAAGAGTTCATAGTCTCTTCTTCTGTAAGTTGTCTCTGTTTACAAGAATTTCTTTCCTTATTCAAGGCACTAAACACACTGCTTATCTTGCTTTAGATAGATATACAGGGGAGAGGGAAATCCTTCAGATAATTTCTCTATTATTTGAATGTTATGTTAACTACTCAGTTGAAATGAGATTTATGGTATAGATAGCCTTTGAAAATTTGGAAGGGTAAACAAATAAACCATCTTTCTCCAGCAGGTATTGACATATAAGCAATAAGTCATTCAATTGAAATTTCCATCCCTTTTAATACTGCTCTGACTGCTGGATTTATTGCTATATATTATCATTCCAAAACATCGTGGGAGTTTACTTGCTCTTAAGTTTCAATGACCATGCCTTAATGTATGAAAGCGACATTGTGAATCTGCAATATATCCTCTAATACAACATTTACTTTTCTTTGATTATTTACGGGGTTTTTTTAACCATGTTTTAGACACAGGAATATCTTGCAGGCATTTTCTACTGTAACATATTTATAAATCTGGTTTGTTTGTTTGCTTTACACACATTCCTCTAACATAAATGAAGTCATATAAATAAACTGGAATACAAGACACAAGCCACTGTGATAATATTGATAGCTGACTTTTAGCTCTGTTACTCCTACACTAACAGAAATTAAGAAGACAAACAGTTGAATTAAATATGCCAGCATCTTGGTATGTGCAGATCTTTTCTGTTGACAGAATCAACATATTAAAAGCATACACATCTTCAATGGTATATCTACGTGATTGGTTTAATCTCATAAATATCAATCATTAAAATGTAGGCATCCAGAAGCTGTTTGTAATCACTGCTACAGTCTTCAACAGAGAAGTTAATCATATTTGTCCTAGGTTTATATGTTGATTATATGAATTTCCTCTTGCTGTTGAACCTTCATTAAACTGGGGCATGGTATGAATTTGATTTACAACACAGCTGTCAAAAAGGTCTCTGACAATTCTTTTTCTTAGGATAACTGTGTAGTACCTCTTATTTTTTTCTCCTATGCTTCCCCCTTCCAATAAATTTAAAAATAATGGAAATTAAAAAGTACTTACCGTTTCTGATTGTGTTGAATTCATTCAGTTCTGAAGTTGACTTGGACTTATTCCTAAGGATATAGAAAACATTCATTTCTCTGTCATAACTAGGAGACCTCATCACAGACAAAGATCTTATAATCGCATATCATAGATCCACAGGCCCTTTTTTTCCACCATCCCTTCCATCAACAACTTATGCTGTACTTAAAACAAGAGACAAAAATATCCAAGGGATATTAAGGGGAAAAAAAGATGTCAATATTTAGATATCAATAGGTAATCACCAACTAAAAGTTAAGATTTTGTACTGAAAGTTCCCAGTGCTTCAGGTATAAGGGACTGATCATTCTATTTACTTAAATAAAAACACATAAAAACCAAAGTCCTTCCCAGTGGAAGCTTTGTGAAGACTACAGTCAGACAAAGGAGTGAGAACTTTCCAAGCAGATTTATAAATGATTTGGCTTCATGAGAAATTTAAATGATACTTCAGCACTGTTACTAGACTGTAAGTAAAACAACTCCTCAAACACTGCTTGCAAACTGTTCTTGGAAAATTTATTTTTCACTCATTATACCCAGCAGCATAATTTTCTAATGAGTTTTAACCAAGAAATGTCATTCAACAAATGTCATATGCAGCAAGACAAATGGCAAAAAGTTGGTTTTCCAATAGTATGGAGCAGTACCTTCAGCAACATCTCTCTACTGAATTATTAGTCTCAAGTAATACAGCCAGTTTTTTAGTTTAAAATAACTCACAAAGGAACAGAAATTCTTTGCTGGGTCACAACTCACAGCTGCTACATTAATGTGTTTACACATACAGCATCGTGTTTATAGCAGCATTTTGAGGGAGTCTTGTCCTTTATCTATAGATAAATTATGCATAAACCACATCACATTTCTTGCTCCCCCAAATTCTTGCTGTCTGTCCTATGGTGCAGATCTATTTTTATTATCTGTTTGAGAAGATGCAACAATTTCACAGCTACCTGTAGTAAATAGGAGCTGTAAAAAGGAGGAAAGCCTTGCCCAGGATATATATCCAAGATGTAACTATTTAGTGCAGGCACCTTCTGAAGTTAGATTTAGATCTTCCATTAATAACAGATCCATTGAGTCGTACCCTGTAAGTTTTGGGGTTCCTCTTTATATAAAAAAGATGTGGTCTCTCCAAAAACTGGTAAATACACAGAAGTCATCTTTCAGAACTATTGTGAGATGCAATCCAAAACACTTGATTTGTAAAGTAAGAGAGTATAACTTAAAAATAACTTGTGTAACTTAAAAAGTGGCACATCTACTATCTCCCTGATAAATATGCTGCTGCTGCCTCCCACTTCCCTTCCTGTTTACTCTCTCTTAAGTTGCACAACCCTTACTGGGATGACTGCACCTTAGTTTGTATAGCACGTTATGACACAAGCACAATTGTATCTGAAATTATTTTCCAGCCAGGTAGGTCTAGTACCACCCACATATTTACTTCCTTACAGTTCTGTTTCTCCCAGTAAAATACCACTGACTAACTGCTGCTTACAACACAGCGTATCATTTGCCAAAAGTTTGGTGGCTTGTTTTTTCAATATGAAAACACGCCATAAAAACTGCAAAACACAGCAGCAATCCAAAGCATACATTTAGCTGCCATTAATAAAATTTATTAGAAGTTTAAAAGCTTTCTGACAAAGAAACGGTGATGTTACAGTCTATGCTGATATTCAGTATCATACACACACCTGTCAGCAAACGACTGGTCTGGTTGTTCCTCAATGGTTTTAGAAACTTCATAACGCTCATAATGCCTATTGAAAAAAAAGATACATTATGTTCATATACAGGAAAAGACACACACATATATATATATATCTCTATAAAGAGTTCCTACGGAAAATATTCAAAATAGATCCTGAAGGGGAAAAAAATCTAGAGAAAAAACAGTTAAAGTTCTAAGGAGGCCTAACTTTATCAGTCAGAAATACAACCAACAAAAGAACACAGAAAAAGAAAGGTTATCAGAAAAATTGCCTGAAATTACATGTTTGTGAAGTGACAGAACTGGTATGCCAAAATGGTTATTGCTGAAGATGTTTCAGTCTATATGTATTTATTCAATTTCTTATTACCTGTCAATGAGAGGATAGCCAGCTCGATCCTCTATAGTTTTAGATACTTCATAGCGCTCATAATGTCTAGAAGCAAAATAAAGATAAACGGAAATACATATTAAAAAACAAAAAGCAATTCTAGAAATTGAGCAAACACTAAGTATACATAGAGAAAATAAGAAAGTTCAGGCGTGTTAACTAGAAACATGAAAATCTATGACTTTAAGATGCTGCAAAAATTACAAGCATCAGTATACAACAGTGACTATCTCATCTATTCCAAAGCCAGGAGGCAAGTTTTGTTCAAACATAGCCATTCCCTAAAAATTGTATTTATATTCTAGAAAATTGTATAGGTACAGTTTGTAAACTCACAAAGTTCAACAGACAGTGCTCTTCAGCTGCCCGTCTCCAACCTCAGTGCTCTTTGCAGCAAGTATCATGTCTTTGCAGGTGTTTATATAACATTTCAGATTTCAAGCCCTATCCTTGGATATCATCTTAAAGCAAATATTTAACACCAGATATTTTAAAGTCCAGTTTCACTGAACTTGCTCTTTACTGTTAAGCAAAGCCACCCATGTTTAGTAAAACACATCCTTTGGCAGCAACCTCAGAAGCAATGAAATCCCCGTGGACTAAGGCATGTATCAAGGATTTAGATATGCAGATATTACAGCAGCTTAATAAGTTGCCACACAAATTCCTATTATCTTGCAACTGGGGCAAGCTAAATCTGTGGAGATACCCTGGCTCAGCTGCCAAGAAGAACCTGTTCAGCCATTGTAACAACTGTGCCTCTGCTTTGCTCAGCAGGCATATCAAGCAGCAGTCATTTAGAATGAGCTAAAGTAACTCTGGGTCTTAAAATCTCCTCTGCAAATACATGCAATTTTTTTAATCATATTATCTTTTCCTAAGGCTTAACCTGATATCATGCATTATCTTCAGTCATCTCTTATTACTTACATAAGAACAGGAGAAAAACCTCAAGAGAAACCACAAAGCTAGTCATACATAAGGCAGTAAGCTGAATGCACACAAAACGTAAGAAAGTTACTGGTTTATTCTGTTTAAGACAGATTAACTTCCTGTGATAGGAGTCTGAAAACTTCTGGGCAAGAACATCATAAACTTGCAAACTACTCGTTGAGGATTTTTTTGTTTGCTGGGTTTTTTTACGCCAAGCTGTGCAAGAAGGTAGTGAGAGAATAAATATATCTGCAATGGTTATTTCTAACAGGTAAGACAGTATCTGTTCACTCACATACCATGATATCCTTCACTGACAAATTAACCCAGTAGTTAAATTGCAATTAAACTTGATTGTTGCACTGTGGAATTAAAATGAGAGAAATCTGCAAAATCAGTCAGGCATTTGTTGGAAAAGCTTTAACTTGGTATGTCTTCTGAAAGCCCTGTACATTGAGTTACTGGCTTTCAGTTTACAGGCTTGTGCACAGTTCTTACAAAATGTTCACAGCTAAGTGCTTCATGTAATCTTTGATTTGGCTGTAATTCCTGTATTTAGACTTCCCATTAAAAAAAAAAAAAAAGAGCTGAAGTGGGTTAATATAGCACTTGATTCATGGGGCAAGACTTTGTGTTATGCCTTATCCTTCTGTCTTTAGAAAGCAAGACCCTGCTATGGTATCTCCCACTGAGTGATTACAGTATGAACCTTACATGAATATCCTTATATATCCAGGACAGACACACACTCCCATTAGAAGTATAGTTGAATTTGCAGAAAGAAGAGAGCACACACCTTTGGTACTGAGGCACCTCCGCTGACACCTCCCTCTGCCTTTCAGCCTGCTGCCTCTGCTCCTCCATCTCTGCCCGCTGCCTCTGCTCCTCAGCATATTGCTGCTCCCTCTCTTTACGTTGTCTCTCAAGCTCCAACTCTTGGCGTTCTCTTTCTTGCTCAAAATGCAGGGCTGCTTCTTCCTGGATCCTCTGTTCCTCCTGAAACCTCCTTCTTCCTTCTTCCTCATGCAGCAAGCTCACTGCCAGCTTTCTTCCTCCATCTCCTTCTGGCTCCTCAGGAATATTTGCTTCAGGGCTTGCTCTCCAGCTGGACACAGATGGAGCCCGAGAAGTGACGGATGTCGTATTTAAAGTTAGAACAGTCTGCTCCTGAAACAAAGAAAAAAAATCATGTTTTTAGGGAAGGGAGTCATTTTTTAAATAGGTTGCTTACTCAGAAAAGTTCATTTACTCTCTAAGAGAAGACTGTGCAAAAAGCATCCCCAACACTTTCAGTGCAAGATGCAGGGCATACTTTGGTTTCATGTTTTGAGTGCCTGCTAACACATTCTCCTAACTCAAGAGCTTCATTCCACACAGTAGCCTTAGCAAGCGCCAGAGGCAGCACGGCCACAACTATGTGAAACATTCTGCGTTCTGAAGTATCACTTACATGTCAAGCCATCCCTTTCCCACTTAAATACCCATGGAAAACAAACCCTCCCATGATACCTAGAATTTCTCCCTACTGTTTTGACTTAGAAACCTGAGACATACTTAAGAGTGTTACACACAGAGATATACACCACAAATGTATATCAGACCAATGAATTTCACATGAATCCTCATGTGGAGGAACTTCCCACTCTCCTCCATGCTCCTACCATTTCAAAGTCAAGCCTCAGACCTATCATCCTATGATTCTTCCCTCAAAGATGAGAAAAGGTCTTTAAGTGGTCAAAAGATGCTTTAGTTGCAGAGAATCAGTAATGTTTATGGGTCCATCAAAACCTCTAATGATAGGAAAAATATGAAATGGTTTAAAAATTCTTGTACAACAAAGTCTTCTAACAGCTCAAAAAGCTTTCTTTTTGAAGTCCTAAGCCTTAAATTATGATCTACTTATTCATGATTATATAAACATAACTGATCTAGCTTGGATGCCTGAAGTAGCGCTCTCATAGTAATAAAGAGGAGATACTTCAGACAGTGCCCATACTCAGGAAGAAACTTGTTCATCTTCCCATAAACAACAGCCACAAAAGTCAGTGTCTACATAAACTACATGCATTCAATGTTCTAAAACATATGATAGGAAATCTGAAGTTGATTTGGTGTGTAATTTTATCAGAGCTCAGATGAAGTGGTTATCAGTAAGAAGCCAGGTACCTATGAACACGTTAGATGATGAAGTATTGAAGCAGAATTCCAACAAGTAGCATAGGAAGTAAATAAATAGGAAAGGTGACCATTTCTGGTCACAATAATTAATACATGCTGTAACTTATTCCCAGTATATTTCTGCTGGTAAGTTACATAACCAACCCATAAAGGAAAGGGTCAAATTCAATTCATCTCAAAACATCCCATTTACTCTTTCCATCCCATTTTTGCAACCTCTTTCCACCAAGTCATAAACAACAGTTTGTCTTCCAAAGTGAGAAGACAAATGGCAGAGAAATTAATTATTTGTCTGCTTGCATGTACTTCATATAAGGGAAAAAAGTCCTCACAGAACTAGTCAGTGAAGCCTTATTGATAGCATACCTCATCAAAATACTTGGAGCTCTCTTTTTCTGCTTCTTGCTTAGCTCGTAGCCATTCTTCCTTCAGTTTTTCTTGTTCCCGTTGATATTTCTCCTGTTAAGTTAGATTGAAGTTAAATATGCAAATAAGAAACATGATTTTTTTTTATTTGCATTGAAATTTACTACTGGTATTTAAACATGTTTTTTAACAGACCAGGGTGGCAAAAACATGCATGAATTCCACTAGAACATTAGGTCTGCCACAAATTAAATCCTGGCTCAAATACAGTCCAAACGAGTTCTATAATTGATTCTGGAGAATCCAACCTTATTACATGCTAAGTCTCACAACAACTGACCTCATATCTGTTATATTCCCTGTCCTCCAGTTTAATTACCATTTGAACAAAAAACCAGCTATATAAGGTATTTCTGGAAAGACAGAGTGATTATATTTAACTTGGAACTGGGTACATTAATATGATAATATGGTAAATATAAAGTGATCACTAAGTGAAATATGAGGCAGTGATTTGGTTTGAGCAACAACTCTTGGTTCTTTTGAAATGTCACCTAAAAAAAAAACAATTTCTGGACCTCCAAATTTGTCTTATGACTAGATTTGGTATGAAATTGATATACTGTCTTAAAGCATTACTCAAAGCACATAATAAATGTTTTGGTGGTTTTGTCAGTCACCACTTTTATCTAGGGAAAAGCAAAATATTTAATGATGTCAAAAGTATTCCTTCTAAGATGCTGGAAATAAGCAAAGAGAGACTTCGCTTCCTTTCTTTGTATTTAAAAATTATTTACTAGGATCATAGAGAAGAGAAAGATTATTACTCTTGCTACTTCAGAACTAAAAAAGAAGAAGCAAAAAAATTATGGCAGATGGGTGAGTCTGCTCTCAAGAAAGGGGAGGCAAAGTTTACATTCTTTAAAGCCATCTCCTCAGGCATCAAATGGAGCATCCAAACCATAACAGAGACCACAGATAAGTTTAGGAAGGTACAGTTGTTGCCTTTCAGAGTTTGCAAGCTAAAAGGAACAACAAAAGATCAAATACCCAAAAAGCAACAGAGTTGCTATGGTGTACTTTGACATCACAAATTTTTGCTCAATGTACCAAACTTATTTAGAGTTTTAAACTTGTGAGGAATAAATGATGTTCATTGATGTCTTTCTTAGCCATCAGATAACAAACTTTAATTTAATTTGCAGAGATGTATCTTTCTAAATGTGGTTGAACGTGCTTATGCTTCATTGAGCTGAGGTCTTTGCAGAGACATATGCTTGGGGTTTTTGTGCTATTCTAAGATGACAAACATTGCCCCTTCCCTCTGCAACACTCTCTTCCAGCTCAAGCAATTAGTTACCAAAGCGCTTTTGCATTAGCAGGTTCAGCTTTCTGACTCACAGAGGTCCTGGGAACCAGGTTGATTCCAAGCGATTAGCTGATTGCTAAATGACAGGATTCTAGCAGGCACCTAACTGTGGCACCAGCTGCCTCCTCTTCATGTACAAATATAAGGCAGTAACACTAATTGAAGGTAAAACTCAGGCTAGAGATAATTTTATTAAGGGGAAAAAAATAAAACTCACAAGCAAAAGTGAAGACTATTGCCCTTAATGTCTTCATTTATCCTTTAAATTCTTTAGCAGTAAGAACATACCAGCCTTGTGAAGATTGAGCACTTCTGGCTACACTGAATACACATTCTGGGTCTGATTTTATGAAGCTCACTAATGCATTTCCTCTTTTCTCTGAATAACTGCTAGCATGTGCAGCCCAGAAAATGTAATTGAGAATCTCCTCAGGCTATCAGTAAGAAAAGTTACAGAGGTCACATGATATTTTTCTTTCTAACAGTTGCTGCACACAAGGGATTGACAGCCCGTGATTATGAAGATCAATTATACCTGCAATAAACGGTCCTGCTCTTTTTGCCATTTTTCCTGTCGTTTTCGCTCTTCCTCTTGATCCCAAACCCGACGACTAGGAGCGCTAATGGATGGGACTGGGAGCTAATATAGCACAAAAATGAAATAATATTATCCTCTTCCATGTAATCAACAGTCTACATTTTAAAACATTTTTTAAAGTGACAAACAGAAGCCATTACAAGCACACTAGAACTTTATAGGGACGAGGACCTAAATTAGCCTTTTCTTCAAATGGACAGAGAGCAACCATTCCATTACAAATTAGAAAATCTTAGTACTCTCAGATTTGATCAAAATTTTAAAGAAGTTTACAAGGCAACAGAAAGCAGTGGGCTTCCTGAAAAGACCAGGATTATGAAACTAATTTGTAGTTCATAAACAGTACTTACATCAGGCATTGCAGGCTCTGGGCCTCCTGTGAGGTTTGGAAGGCAAGAAAGAGAAATCATTAGACCCACACACACTAACTACTGCAAGACTCGTGTAACTTCGGCAAGTCAGTTTTAGACTAATTTTTGCTCCCTGAGTAAGACATGCTTGCATTTGCCCTACTGAACTTACTCAAGGGCAGAATTTATTAGGTGCTTTCAACTAAATGTGCACAATTGTTTAAAAGCTTTACATGCTTACAAGTGCCATCAGCAATTGCTTGAATTAGCAGCACATCTCCAACTGTGGCAATACATAGGTTCTTTACTACACCTCTCCTATTACTGTGAAGCCCAACTGTTTAGCATGACCAATACCCAGAATGTTGCACCAAGGTAGAGAAGCTAATCACCTCCTGCCCTTGACACGAATTAAGACCAACAGACATCCACTGGCAACTTCTCTACCACAAAACCATGTATTTCTCCTTTCCAACTTTCCTCCTTTCCTTCTCCCCAAAGCACACTTGAACTCAGTGAAGCTGTCACCATTCACCACAAACCTTATGCTAGTTGATGCTATCACACTTGGACTTAATCATCTTGTGCTAAGGTGATTATTAGAGAGAGACATATATTATGCTAACATATTAAAAGTCAAGAAAATGTGGAGAAGCACAAATTTAAGTATAACCCTGTTTCACGCAACATCAGTGTTTTTGTTTGTTGACAGTGTACCTGTTACCTAGCTCTCCAAATTTTAAGAAGTTTAATCTCCAAGTTTAAAAAAAAAAACAAAACAACAACACATAAAAGCAATCAGTTGCAACAGTTTTCTGAAGTAGGACCACATGAAGTGGAAAAGATGTCAAAAACTTAGGATACAAAAGATAATGAGTCACAAGTTAGTGTCCATTCTCTATATACATAATTGTCAGATCTCAACAGCCACAGTGGCAACAGGACAAACAGCCTCATCTATTGCAATTGCACCATGAGATCCTAAAGGAAGGCATAGACAGCATCTATCTTTGCTCCCCTCTTCTCTCACGCCTGTAAGCTTATGCTGAACTGCACAGGTTTACAAAGATGAATCTTTCAAATAATTGTAAAGCTAAAGTGCCAAAAGTTTAAAATTAACATAACTGTATTGAACGTACACTCTAGAACTACAACCTTGTCCTCTCCCTCAAGTGAAATACTTTAAATATTGCTATCAAATTAATTAAAATAAAAATAAAATTTTTAGCCAGCCATAAAATAAAAACCAACCAACAAAAAAACCCCCAACACCAACAAAACAACCAACAACAAAATACCACCATACTGCAGATACAATCGAGCAGAAGTATTTAAAAGCAAACAGAACCACAAACAAATATATGCTGTGGCACTTCACAGTGGCTTTTGGCAAAGAGTCATCACCACTAAAGGCAAAATCCTGGCCCCACTCAAATCATTGGTAGAATTCAACTGAAGTTCCAAAGGGCCAGAATTTCCCTCTTTCAGGCTACAGCAAAACAGCGAGGCATACATAGCCTGAAGACAGCATAAGACATATAACATTAGTGGAAGTATGTGAGCTGTGACATGCAAAACACTGAAAAGCAACCTACAAAACCAAAATTGAGTGCCTCATTTTTTGCCTTTAGAAGCTAACATATTAAATTAAAAATTTATATTGGTCTTCTTGGGATCTTGCGATATCGCCACATACTGGAAAGCCAGCAGAGGCCTTTTTCCATCAATTTACATGAAAGCACAGAGCTGCAACTCAAACTCAAATCCAGAGTTACATATTTTATCAACAGCTCTGAGATCTTCACCAAACCTCTGCTGGAATATTCACCATTATTCTTGTTTTGTAGGTAGTAGCAAACCTGAACAAAGAGTGCTATCCTTCTTCTAACCAGTGGAAAAAAAAAGCATGAAGGACATAGAAGAGATTTAAACAGCTATAGATGTAAAAGAACACACAAAGACCCATTACCACAAAGGTAGACCCATGAATTGTAAGAATAACCTGATGACCCTGGGAAAAGAAGGGAAATTAATTATGTTGCTTCATTATAACTGCAACAAACAATGCTGAAGAGGTAGAGCACCCAGCACCAGACTTGTTAGGAAGAATGTGCAGCAGGAACAATTTCATGGAAGTACATGAAATGTTAGCTCTTTGATTTACCTTGTTCAAAAAATTGTGACCGTCTTTTTAAGTTTTTCAAAGAAATAGGTTCAGATGCTATTTGAAAAATACAAAGAATACAAACAAGTCAATGAGGTGCCTTTTTTTTTTCTTGTTAAGGATTATAACCACTGGATAAGAAACTTGCTAGTCCTCTCATCTAGAGCAACATCACTTCAGAAAAACAAAAAGCCTCTGCAATACCAAGTAAAACTTTAGCAGGTTACATCATATGTTGATTAGTATTTCATTTTATCACTACCAATGTTGAACTATAACAACCATACAAGTGTCAAACTTGGACTCAGAATCTCCCTGTCTACTGTAAGCCTCCCTGACTGGGATGCCACATTGGAATGAGGAGCCTAATCACCATTTCAGGTCATCAGAAAGGCATCTCCAGAGGCAACTGATATCTTGGGGGAATTCTTTCATAAATTGCCATGAATATTCAAGTTAAAATGAAACACAAAGTTCCTATTTAAGGGTTATTATTCTATTAGGAAGTATACATACCTGGTTTCTCTCACTGTTGTCAAGTAAGGCTATAACTGCTTATAGCATCATAAGAAATTATTATTGATACAGGAATAATCAATAACATTCTCCAGGAATAAAAAGTAAAATAATCATAGTGAAACAGCTGATACCCCTAAAACCTCACAACTGAAATGATGAGGGTAACACCAAAAGTTGAATACTCTTTACACTCTTCCTGGACACTGAAATAAATCAATACTAGTATCACTCAGTCTCTACACAATGCAGCAGCAGTTACAATAAATTGTGCGCTTTCTTCTCTTTCACCCCTACCACACAGTTAATTTACAACCACTAATGAAGAGGCAGGGCCATTTGTTACAGCTTTCTTGTCAGTTCTCAAACTGCCTAGCATGTCATGGAAGCAAACTACACCTGGTTTAGATGCAACAACATCTCTGTGGTATCTGTCTAGCTTTCAGTCAATTGAGGTCTCACTTCACCCACTTTATAAAGCTTGCAGTTGTTACAGGTTTAAAGTTTGTGCTTGTTGCACACCACACAATTAGCAGATGAATAGCAACAGTGGTTTACCTCTTTGTTCATTAGAGCCAAGATCTCCTTGTGTTCCATTTATCATTTTTGTTTCTGTATCCTGAAAAATTCAAAAAAGAAGAAAAAAGAAAAAAAAAAGAAAAAAAGAGGTCTTAGGCTCATTAGATTTGTGGAAGTTTATCCAGTTACACATCTTCCCTGACAAGAACCATATATCATAAAACATTTTAAACCATTTTCCACAGAAAGATACAAAACAATAAAACTTCCTGAGTGTATTTTCTAATAAGGCAACTGTAGGCATTTGAGGGAATAAATAAGCAGCTGTGAATTGCTGCTGAAATAAAAAAAAAAAAAAAAAATTAGTTTGCAAGAAAGTGCCAGAAGCCAAGATCTTTCTATTTCAGCTCCCTAGCAGGCGGGTTGTTATTTATAAGTCATTTGAAAGCACGTATATGCTTGTGCTTTGGACCACAACTTCCATTTATGCTAATAACACAAGTCCAGGTCTTCTCTAAAGAAAAAACACACTATACGTTTTAGTTAAAACATAGTCTGCACATGTTTTAGTATTATTTACTGGTGTCCACTCATGAACAGACAGTAGCAAGTCTTTAAAACTTCTTATTTACCTTGATACATACATAGCTACATCTCCATATTTGCAGTGTCCTATATTTTTACTTGTATTGTTTTTTCTCCATCCTCCCACTACCAAGATATTACATTTTTTATTCCTCCTCCCAAACCCCACAACCCTTTAAAAACATACTCACAGAACTTCGAAGGCTGCTGGAGAAATCTCTTTTTGTTGATATGGTGGAAACATTTGAAACATGTTCTCCAGAAGTTGCATCAATCCATTTATTTTCAGATGTACCTATAATGTTGGTAGCCATACTGGTGAGATTGAGGATTTTATGCCTTACATGCGGCAGGGAAGGCTGGTCTTTGCCCCAGTCTTTTTGATATGTGGAGGATCAAGAAATTAATATAGACAGTAAAGTCAAAGAACAGAACAAGAGTTATTGAAAATACATTAAAATAACACAAAACCACACATAACAGAAGAGGAAGACACAGAAATCAGGTGGAATTTGTGAAGACAGGAGAAAGGGCATTTGTGAGCAGACCGCCTTCCCCAAAAATGCAAGTGTTAGTCATAAGCCAGGTAAAGTTTGCCAGATGTTCTGCTAATATGTGCTACAGCAGCTCAACATTAAAGAGCAGTTAGTATTCATTGGAAACTATTTCATTAGCGTTAGTAAGGATCGAGAAAAGTCTTCCAACTTTACTCACACAAGGTACAATGAGACTCATACACTATCCAGGGAAGGGTCATTTTCATGTCCATGCTCATCAGGAAGCACAGAAGTGGGAAGAAAAGGCACTCTAAACTAAACTAGCAAAACTGATAAGGTAAAGACAAATTATACTCTTCTCTCATAATCCATCATTTCTCCCCTCCCACTACCACAAATATTATTCAATGAGTTCTTTGCCACTAATTTACTCTACAGTTGTACTAAGTCCCGCAAAGTGATTTGTTTCTTCTCTCTTCCTCATCCCGCTTTTTTTTCTCCACTTGTTGGTAACTTATTCTACCCAGCTTCCTACTAAAAGAATGTTTTGTATTTATACTTTGAAAGAAGTCATTGGTCACACTTTGAACTCTGAAAAAATTCTTCTGGAACTGTGAAAGGGTATCCTGACTAAAACCATGGCAAGTCTAGAGATGCTACAAGACTATCAGCCAGGATGGAAACACTAGCCAGAATGGGTTCTCTCCATTCTGGAGAAAAGAGATGACAGCATCACAGTATTTGGGTCAATGAACAAAAATCATAGCACAGAGGTGCCACCAACAAGCTCGACCACCACTTGAAATGCCCCCTGAAGAAAGGAACACGTGATCCACATTTGAAGAGAGGGAGCTTGTCATTGAGAGACAAAGGCTTAAAAAGTTATTATGGTCTAGAGAAAAGGCCCTCTTTATTCTTGTGGTATGGAAGGAAATGAAATGTTATATTTCCTTTTGTGATGGTTGCACACTTTTTCACCTGTGCATCCTCTCAGAAACAGGCCAGAGCACAAGAGAGATGTCAGTATTTCCATGCTTTGAAGATTTGCTTGTCAAGACATTTCTAATGCACAAGCAGTTAAAAAAAGCCAAGTTGTGTTAAAATGCAACAGACACACTGGCAAACTACTTAGCTTAGATACATATTACTCCTGTAAGGGTAATAAGGACTCTCAGCTGTCAGGTACAGCAGAGACAAAGCTTATTTGCCTTACAGAGCATACTGTATCTGCCTGATGAAACAACTCACCATTCTTTCCGTATCGTCTGACATCCATGACCAGGTTTCCAGTTTCTAGTCCTCTGCTGATGGCTTCTTCCCACTGACTGTAGTCCATATGTGAAACCTTTGTGCCATTGACAGCAATGATCTCATCATCTACATGCAGTTGACAAAGTGCTGCAGGGCTACCTGCAGAAAGCAGAAGAAAAATAAAATTATGCCTCCACTCATAATTATTTTTTTATCACAGTTGTGATTGGAGGGGGATGAGGTGGGGAATTATTCCAAGAAATGCTTAATGGTCAATATTCAGAAAGTCTTAGAAAAGTCTACTACATTGTAATATAAAATCAATAAACTCAGTATTAAAGTAGCTTTTCAATTGAGAACTTATGAAAATGACAAAGAGCATCTATCTTTTGGACTTGTAAGTCTTCACATTCTGGCTAGTCCTTTTAATAAGCAACCTTTGGACTCAATCCTGCCTTCACTAACTCACCGTTATAATCTGAGATAGCAAGAGAGAGGCAGCACCACAGTGTCTGTATCCAACAATTAGTTGAAATTCAGCCAATGTTTGGGTAATCCTCCTATTTGCCTAAAAACCAGCCTGCACTCTGTTAATTTCAGTAGAAGCTGACTTTCTCATATTCTTCTTTACAGTTTCTGGGCTCTACTGACAAGAGCATGCTGCTTTATTGCTGTGCTGAAATAGTTTGTTAACTCTGAATTGACTGGTAATTGGACTCAAGATATTGCTGGGTGCTGTAACACTAGACTTCTCTGGATTCTACTTATTTTGTCTATTAAGAGCAAACTCTATGCAATTTGGACTTTGAATCTAGTGATATTTTGCAAGACAGTCTGCACTTCATACTTTTTTCCATTTACTATACACTGGCAGGCAATATTACTAGACTAGGGACAGAGAACAGAGGACCAGTTCATAAACTTTTTCTCAATCTAATTCAGAAAATGGATAAGCTGAGAAACTCAGACTCTCCAAGTATGATTTTATGAATTACATATGAATGTTTTTTCCATTAAAAATTATTCCCTTAGCAGAATGGAAAATAGAAAAGCCAAGTAAAAATGTAGCTAAGCACTGAACAATAAACCCTCATGTTAATAAAACAAATTTGAACTACACAATGGAAGCATTTTCCAAAGTTAGTAGTGAAAGCCACACATCTTATTTAAAATATACCAAGAACAATGCTCTATTACATTATTAGAAACAAATGTGGACAAATATGACAGAAGAATTTAGATATCATTTGCTTCATCCTGTCTTCTGACTCATTAGTAAAATACTGCTGTAAGCCTGGATCATCCACTAAGGATTCCAATAGCTTTTAATAGTCCTGGCACACGAAAAAGTTAAGAAATTAACAAATGCTATGCTTCCTAATACTGCACCAAACAGGGATTCATCATAATTCACTAAAAAGCTACTATACTAGAAGAGAAAAGCTCCATATTTTGTTTCTCTGCATTCTTCTTAAAATATGGACTATAAACTTCATTTGCACTTATCAGAAAAATTTTCAAAACACACCAATTGCTTTTAAGCAACACTGTAGAAGAAAAGGTAGGGGTTTTATCTGGGGGAAGAAAACATGGGCAATAGTTAAACTGGACAAAACATGCATCTCCTTAAAAGCCAGGAAGATGTTAATGTATTAATGTAAGGTACTATTAAGAATACTATTGAAGATACTGACACTGAAGTTACTATTTTCAACAAGATCATATAACTTTTGGAATTGAGTCTGATACTTAGTACCATATAGTTTGACTGCATCTAGACTAAGCCTTATGCTCACAGCACAGGGAATGCTTCAGGCTTAAGGGGAGTTATCAAAACTGGTAATTTCTCTGTTTTGTGTTGCGACAGAAAAAGCCCTAGGAATCAAAAAAGGTCGTGTTTATTTTACTCAAATAATTTTTCTGAGATGAGAAGACCCATCTCAGAGGTTTGAACAGTATATCTCAGCTCAGTTTTATGAAAGGAAGGGAATTTAAGACTGCATGGTTCTTCCTACGCTATTACTACAAAGACATATCCAGACCATAGTCCAGCCATACGGATTTGAATGAATAGCAGCAGTCTCTAGATTGCATATGTAAACCTAACTTAGCCAGAGCAACTTACACTACACAATTTTTGGCATGTAGCTTTGCCAGCTGCTCTTCCTCCACAGTCTGTGGAAAAAAAGGACAAACCAGGGCACCTATACTGCGCTTCTGCTGTGATTCACCTCTAGAGAAGGTGAGAAGCCTGAGAGACTAGCTAGAAATTTAGGTGCCAAAAGTTGTATGTTGTTTTTCTCTGTTCAGCTCCTCAAAAACTATAGGAATGTACAATAATTTCTTTATATTGCTATAAAGGATTCAGTTTCCATGACATAAAACATGTACTGCTGTCTTTTGCAAGTTTCTCTGAAGGTTTCAGACTTTTCTTTCTTACTAGTCCCCAGTAAAAACAAAACAAACCAAATATTCATTTTCTAGACGTACTTAGTGTCCTCTAACCTATCCCCATCTGTTGTTATTACAATAGATAAATACAAAGAAAATAAAACCTGAAGGAAGTGGGTCAAATTTACTTTGTCCTACGTGACTGCAAGTGTTTGATCACAGACATGCACTCCTACATCAAGACAATCTCAAAAAATTATTGCAAAGGGAAACTGAAAGGGAAAGGACTGAAACAATAAAGATTATATGGCACTGCGGAAGTTGGCAGAACAGTCTAGATTAATGACTTCGAGGTCATTTACCTATTTTTAGTGTAAAAATTTAAAACTGTAAAAATGAACACTATGTTCTTTCTTTTTTCTTTTATATGTAGTAAATGGGTCTCACTGAAATATGTGTTATAAGCTTAACTCATATTTAGGTTTTTGAGAACACTTATAAGAAATAATTATTCCTGAAGCTCTTTCTGGGATCACGGAAGAGAAAAAGGTGACTAGGAATGATTGGTTTGGATTTGCCAAGCCTAAATCACACTTGACCAACGTGGTTATTTTTAATGATGAATTGACTAGATCTGTGGATGAGGGGAGAGTGGTGGATACCACACACCTTGTCTTTAATAAGGCTATTGACATGATCTTCCACAGTATACCGGTATCAAAATTGGGATGGTATGGTCTACGGGGCAGAACAACCAGATGGGTGAAAAACCAGCTGGGTTGTCAGGCTCTGTGGGTAGTAGTTAATGGCTCATACTCAGCCTAGAGGCTGGTTACAAGTGGAACTTGCCAGGAATGCACCATGAGACCTATTCTCTCTAACGTGTTCACCAGTAATCAGGAGGAGGAGGTGAAACACATCCTCATCAAGTTTGGAAACCTTGCCAAAAGGATGGTTAAAACACTTGGGGGCAGGGCTGCCATTCAGAGCAGGAACCTGACATTCAACAAGGTCAAATGCAGAGTCCTGCTCCTGGGATGGACTAATGCCAGTGATCGCTCAGGCTGGGCACTGTTGGACTGGAGAGCAAGGCTGGGGGACCCTAGCAGTGGTGGGGCTATATGAACACTAGCATGACCAGCAGGTCAAGGCAAGTGACTATTCTGCTCACCCCACACTAGGTATGCCACTTTAACAATACCGTGTCCAGTTTTGGTGTTCTGTTGTAAGAGAGACATCAATAAAGTGGGGTAAGTTGAATGGTAGGGCACTGGGATGGGCACACCTGGAGCACTTGACCTGTGAGGAGAGGCTGAGAGGTTCAGCCTGGAGAAGAATGCTGCAAGGGGACCCAACAGCAGCCTCCCCAGTACCTACCAAGAGAAGTTACCGAAGTCACTGAGAAGGCAAAGTCTGCTCTTTATTGAAATTTATGGCAGGAGAACACAGCACAATGGTTATAAACTGGGACAAAGATTGGTCTGACTGGACATGTGGAAGACATTTTCTCTGAGAGGATAATTATGCAATGCCCAGGGAGGCTGTGCAGTTTCCATCCTTGGAGGGTTTTAAACACACATGGGTAAAAGCCCTAGGCAGCCTGTCTGAATTCAGTCTTGACAGTTTTTTGAGCAGGATTTTGCTGTAGGTGATCTTCCAAGGTTCCTTCCAACCTAAATTATCCTATGACTTATCCTTAAAAGTAGGAAATACAACATTGCTAAGTGCCTAGCTGAAAGCACATCTTAATTTTTCAATGGGCCACCCACCTCTTTCATCCTTCATTCCTTTAAAGGGAGCTACAGGAATTGAATAAGGATACAACATGAGCAAGGTTTTGAAAAAAAGTATGTTGAACACAGGCTATAAACAAGAACACTGAGATACAGTCCATTGTCTATTCAACCTTTGTGCCCTTCCTTACCTCCATTATGAGAATGGTAATAAAACAAAACCAAGACAGCCACCACACGGCCTCCACCTTCTCCTTGGGGACAGAGCCTATGTGGACCTTTGTGAATGGCTAGCAGGAACATTCACTACCCTCAGATTTCTCCTTTACAGCTGGCAGGGCAAACAGACAGACCTCTACCTCCAAGGAAGAAAATTAAACCAGAAGCCTAGCAGCAAGGAAAGCAAATGGGAAGTTATTCCCTGCGCAAAGCAAATATTAAAAGTTACAGAATCACAGATTTCAGGTCAGGTTGGAAGGAATCACGGTGGGTCATCTGTTCCATCCTCCCTGCTCAAGGAAGGGTTATCCTAGAGCATAAATCTAATTATGAAAAGTACTCTGATAAAGTGAAGAAAGGCCTCTTCAGTTCCTGAATTTGAAATGAGAAAAAATAATTTAAGACTGTTCATCAAATGCTGTTATACAGTATTTTTTCGTCTCTGGAAAGCATAATTAAGGACTAACTAAATAAAAAGTTTCCAGTTATTTCCCTTTCTCAGGATAATCTTGTGTTAGGTGAAAGAAATGGCAGAATTCAATATTCCTCAAGTATTACTGGCAATGGGAAAGACCACTGTTCAGAAAACAACCATTACATGTGATTTGCTTGGGGGCTTGTTGTGTTTTGTTGCCTTTTTTTAATTAGAGAAAATTGAGCTTGTTCTCTGCAGAAGACTATTAAAGCTTAGAAATAAGCTTTATATATGTTTCATCTCAAGTAAAAAAAAAGTATACTTTTCCTTGGTATTAAAACAACTTAAAAAACCCTGCATTTAGAAGTTGCAACTGCTTAAAAATATTAACTGTCTCCAGAATTCAACATGACTAACTAAACTGCCTAGCTAATTTTCCTCTGCATTTGTTTACAAATCATCTGAAGTGAAATCTTTTAAACTTAGCTGTAAGGAACAACCTGGATATTAGAAGTCTGTATGTGCCCCCTACTAATGTTCAGTAAGGGGTTTAGCAAACAAATAATCATGTTTATGCCTTTTCAGTGGTTATGGAAATGTCCTTAATTAGGAAAATGCATTTTTGGTATTTCTGAATTCAACCTGTTTTCAAGAGACAAGGATTCACAGAAATACATTAGCAAGCCAAATACTGATTTTTCAGTTCTATACCTGATTTTTAAAAATGTTTGCAGCATTCTTAGCAGCAAATGCCTTAATTTAGAAACCTTTGCAAACTAAACATAAGAACAACAATTTGTGCAGTTAATACACATTTACCTTCTTCAACTGTCTGTACAAAGGCTCCTGAAGAACTCCAGTTTGTTGTAAACCCAAAGCTGCGACTGTGGCCAGGTCTCTGGTTTATGCTGATTCTCATTTCACTATACTGTTCCTGAAAAATAAAACATGACACTACAGTATCTGGTATCACAGGAATCCAAATGAGGGAAAGGTTATCCTCTAAATAAGTGAGGCTGCTCACAATGTGCACTTTAATCATCTATTATTAGCATCACAGATAAAGGAAACGGTATTGAAGTCAGTTAACTAACTCATTTGCTTTTTATTCAAAAAGGTGTATTTTTAGTTTGCATTTATATTTTCTCTACATGTACATTCCACTCTGCATTGCTATTATTTTAAATGTTTCGTAACACAATGTTACAAAATTTGGGTAGGAAAATTTGGAGGAAATTAAAGCCCTAAATAAGTCTTCTTGCATAGTCTTGTGAATTTGTTGAACATGCTGCCTCCTGAGAGAGCATCAGAGATGTGAAAAAACTAGATGCCAGTAATCAACCTTATTTTTTTTCTGGTACATCCTACAGTGAACATCATTAGTTTACTTTAGGTTCAATGCTGCAACCAGGTTTACTTAAGTGAAAAACTACTTTTTGTGTGAAATACTACCAGCTTGCTATGGATTTTGTAATGGAGAACTTAAATAATAAAGCTAATACCAAAATTAGCTAAATTCAGCTCTTCCGTTCCAGTGGACTTTCAATATGCTTTCAATATCTGCATCAAAACCTAACATTACCACTTTAAATAACAAAAATATTTGAATGGGAAAACATTTTGGAACACTTGTTTTTAATCTCACATTATATAATGAGAATGTGTTGCATACATTAACATTTTAATGTAACTCATTAAAAACAATTAAAATACCCAAATGCATGCTATGCACTTCATTATCATGAAACTGACATTGTAATAAAAGAGAAAAAAATAGACTTTTTCTGTCAAACAATGTTAAAATAAGATATATTCCAACAACATGTGCATGGAAGAGACCCAGCATGCTTTTATACATGCATTAAATGTACACACATGTTTTAGCTGCCTAGTGAACCAGCATTCCTGAAGGGTGGGATTCTTTTTCCCTAACTTAAAATATTTAAAAGTCTAGAAATCTATGCCAGTTCCCCAAAGCTCCTATGTTGGTAGGCAGCTGCAGGGAGCACTGCACAAGCAGATGCAGCCAGCCAGAACCTCTGGGAAGTGCAGCCAGGGGAGACTTCAGCAGTACCTAAGCACTGGATACAGAAGAAAACATACACTGCAAGGCAACATTCTGAGGTATGGTCTCACTTCACAGGAATGTTCCTGGGAAAACCCTCCCCCTTACAGCCCAGGGTAGAAATTAAGTCTTTTCTTTACAGCACACCTACTAGCATGCAAATGCTCCCTTACAATTCAAGTGCTTAGGTGAGTATATAAAAAGTGAATCTACTAATAGGTTAGCGCACTCAGCTAGAGAACATACAAACCTTTGGAATATGAGTGTGTTCCTGTGTTCTTATTTTTTTTTCCCACCATCCCAACGTGACTCTTCAAACCTACCTCTTGTTGAGGCGTAATGTGACTTTGTACACTGAACTTCATCATTTGGATAGGTCATCTCTAAAACAGTTAGTGCTCCACAGACCTGGTGTTACTGCCCCGATGACTAGTGAACTATATCAATCTCTCATCTCTGGCAATGATTTACAAACATGTCAAATGGAACCTGCATTCCTTAAGTTACAGTTTGTTAAGTTATAACACAACACAGGCTTTCTTATTTTTTTTTTTCAATTTTAAAATAAAACCCCCATATTACTCATTTGTAGGAAGGACTATACTAACAACAGGAAAAAAATATATGGACCTAGTATACGCTATTCTCACTTGCCATGCTGAAAGAGATTCTAAGAAGCCATATCTAATCTATGTTTTCACTGATTAGAACAGAAATTCTTCTGCCTGTTTTTGCTACAACACAGAAAAAAAAAATAATGATCCCTTTCCTTATACAGCAATCAAATATTTAAGATAAATTCATTGCAATGGCCAAGGGGTATCAGGAACTGCAATGTGTTCCTTTTCTACAAGTGATTAGGAAGAAGAATGATTCAAAGTCACTGAACTTCTGTAAAGATTATATGGGAAGTGATTTCATACATCAGCATCTAAGGTCTTACGACCCTCACCCAAGCAACTGCCACCACTAACTTTTACAGCAGCATCAGGAATGCAAAGAACTAATCTCTAATCTGTCAAGGGATATAAAACACATTATCAGATATTACAGAAAGGTATCAAAAATTAAAGCTATTGCTGGTCATTTTTTACATGTGAAACATGCAATCAGTTGGAGGAAACAGCACTTCAAGACACATTTTTCAAAAAGAACACAAAGACCCAACTCCTGGATAAGCACATATGCAAAGAGATGGTGAAGTACTTTCAAATTAATGTGAACATTAATGAGATTCAAGTAAATAGCTAAAAAAAAGAGAAGGAACTCAAGCCAGATGGAAAAAAGAGGATAGTATGATACTGATGTTTATGGCTAGCCTTGGAAAAGCTGATCTTTATTTTCCTCCACCAGGTTAAAAGTGCAAATGAATGCTAGAGCAGTTCAGGTAATTTATCTAACTGACATACCTGATCGTGTCACAATGTGTTAATTTGGAGAAAAACAAAAAACTTTGCAAGTGCCAAACAATATTTAGAAAAACTATTTTGAATTAGAATGATAAATAAAATTAAGCATGTGGCATATGAAGGGTAGGGAAAAATGCAGCAAAAGAAACAATTTTTCCCCAAATATTCTCTTTCCCTGAATTAAATCAAAAGAAACAGAAGCTCTCTGACCTGCCTTCTTACTGCCAGAAAAATACTTGCATTAGATGAAATTTTATATATTTTCTCTTTTACTCTGATGTAGCATTCAGTTACACCAAGAAATCACATTATTTCCACACTTACCATGGATTTTGAATCCTCAGGCTCTGTTGGACTCTTGATTTCTGCAGAAGATGCAAGTGAAAGAGAATCAGGAGGAATGTCATACTCAGGTTTAAGAATACTGCTTCCCGCATCTTGGTCTTGGGATTTTACAGGTAATGCCAAAGTAGGAGCAAATGTTGACTGAACACCTTCTTTTTCCTCCTCTTCCTCCTCACCTCTGCTTCTGAATGCACTAGTGGAGAGAGGGTGTGCAGAGTCTGGTTGTGAAAAGGAGATGCTGGTGAACAAAGTTGGAGTTCTTCTAGCTTTTTCTACTTCACCGTTGTATTTCAGAGTATCATCCATCTAGGACAAAAAAAAAGACAGTTTGGTAAATATGTGCTTTTAAAAAAATTCCTTAAATCTTTCAATGATCTTCATATTTAACAAAAACACCTCTCACCCTTTCAAGCAAATTCTGGTTTCTGTACCCATTACTAAAGAAGAGAAACATATTTTTTTCTCTTTAAATCCTTGCAGAATAAATAGGCCAGACTTTTTAAGTTAAACTTGTTAAAGTCATCTGGTTAGAATTATTTGCTTTCTTACCATTTTTTAAATTTAGACAAATAAGGACTTAGGAGAAAGCTATGAGAATCAACATAGTAATGTGGTAGGGGGAGAATCAATTTCATTTTTTCAATGCTTTACTGAGCAGACAAATTTTAGCCTAGCATAAAATTTCAATTTCAACAAAGTCAGCAGAGCAGAGGAAACTTACATCACCTGAAAATTTTGTCTTTAGTACTTAATTATGTTAAGTTAGCTCCAGATAATTACCTCCAACAATGACAGGATTTTTGTATGGTACACTAAGGAGACTTGCTACAAATAATAAAAAGAATATTCTACTAAATATAGTTACTAGCTTTAATTCCAGGAGTATGTTTAAGCACAGAAACACAAGTAAACATCCAAAGCCATGACAGAACTGCCAGTTCTGTTAACACAGCCTTCATCACACAGCAGACAATTTTTTAAAAAGCAACGAAACTTTAAAACTCTACTGTTCCCCTAGCTATTAAAGAGCCTACATTTACAAACTTCAGGAATGAAGAGGAATTTTACCGTGAACGACCGTGGAAGTGATGAGATTCCTCTTGAGTGTACACCAAAAGGTCTTGGTGTAACCACAGATGTTAACCTAGAGGTATCAGTTTTCTGGTAAGTTCTCGGGAGAGAAGCTGAAACCTGAGCTGACCCAGTTTGAGCATTCACTGAGTAACGAGTAGACAAAAGAGCCGAGCTCTGCTCCTCAGCCAGGCTCTTTGGCAGAGCAGGAGCTTCCTGAGCAGCCGAGCTCTCCGGTGGGCTCTCCTTGGGTGGCTGTGAGACATATTCACTTTTGCTGTCCTTAGTGCTGTAGGAAGTATCTTCTTCCAAATGGTGATCTTTTGCTGTTGACCATGTGGAAGGTGCTTTTTCTTCACCAAACACGTCATCATTCAGTGAATACCTCCACATGTGTTCCTGTTTTCGCTGCCCAGAGGAGTCTTCATCTCTCTCCTCCCTAAGTGGAGAGAGCATGTGAGAATACCAAAGTGACCCGACAAAGAGGCAGGGCCTAAGTCTTTCAACTACTGAATGTTCAAGGCAGAGTATAAACCAAAAAATACATCTCCAGTAAATTAAAATGAATGGCATCATTAAAAAATATTAGTATTTTCATATCTTTCTAAGTCTACCTTCTTCCCCCTCCAACATTCTCACAGCACTCAGGGATACTACTGTCACATTTTCAGGCTGCCGCCATGAGAGAAATTTATATTTGCCAAGCAAATTATATAGCCATTCAAAATACATATCCTAAGAAATACAGATTTGAATCAGGAAAGAATGTAAAGAAGTTAGTGCTATAACACTGCCTGAACTCTATAACTCTGGATGACATTTCTGCTCTATGAATACACTATGCTGAATTTTAGATAACTAAATAAGATGGTGTCTTGAAGTTCAGATTATTATTCTTTTTGTGCTATTCATTCCTTTGTCATAAAGGAACAACCACCACCTGGATAATGTTTATGATTCTGATGATACTGGATATTCAATACAATTAGCATCCTTATTTTTATTCAAGCAACTAATTTTTGTCCTCAAAAATAAAAAAATACAGAAATCCAAAACATTCTGGGTTTAAACTCATTAAAATTTCTTTTATGAATACATGCCATTGCATTCTAATACATGCATATTCCCTTCAACTCAGTCATACATGCATTTTAAGTAAGAAAGTAAATAAATAAATAAATAAATAAATAAATAAATAGACTGTCACCAGTAGAAATGGTACTGGGCAGTTTACACTTTTTACTCTTCAGAGATTAAATATCCAGAGGAACAATTAGGGATACAGGGAAAATCAAGTAAAAGTTTACAGCTCTGTAACATACATTAAAATTCTGCCTGTAACAGTGGCTAAAAGAATAGCAAATGTAGTGGTAGAAGAAAGAGAAATAGTTAAGCTTATTCAAGAATAAAAAAGGCAACTATCCAGTTCAATACTACTGTTTTAACTAATTTCAAGAGAATGCAAATATTGACTTCTCAATACATTTATTTATAGATAGCAAAGCAAAATATCATTTATAGAGCAAAACTCTTTAACATTCTGCTGTGTAAACACAGCATTAGTAAACCACATTCAGCCCTTGAATTGCCTAGACTTCTACACTGTATTTTGCAACTAAAATTGTTGAGATCTCTGCAGAATCAATTGCAACTTGGCCACAAAAGCTGCTCAAGAATTGAAAGGGATAAAAAGGCTCAAATTTAAGTTCTTCAACATAATACTCCCATTAGGGCCATTACCTCTCCTGCTGCATTTCTTTCAGTGACTTGGTACTCCTTCCAGACACTTCAGAGGCTCTTCTTTCAATTTCTTCTCTCTCTTCCTTTTTCTTTTGCAATTCTGAAGTGTAGCTCTTTCTACGATTCTTCCATTTTGCTAGATCCTATTAGAATAACATGAATGTATCCCATCAGATTTTCTCATAGACATTTTCCCATAGACAAACAGAGGCATCTCATCACATGCTACTTATTGTCTTGATTTTATTTGCACATCTGCATCACAGCCATATTTTCATGCACCTTTCTGCTAAATGATAAAGGGGTTCTCATATTTCAGTTAGGGTTACAGGCTCATTGCCTTATTAAGTTAGTAATTTAAATTATTGGACTATATGTGGAAAGGCACATAATTTTGCTCCATTCTCCCCCCCTCTTATAATATTCAATTTTATTCTAGAATACTTTACCCAGTGACACGTAGTTGAAAACTGATGCAAATGCCATCTGTATTTCTTTGTTGAAGGCTTTGGAGTTTGGGATATTATTATTTTTCAAATCCCTATTATGTTAGACTGATACATTAGCCTGAGAATAAATATGCCTTAAATTCTAAATTGAAAGACATATATTACTATATTTTCCTCATTTCTGTAAAGCCACAATGTGAACTCTCAATAGTGTCCATGAAATACCAGAGCTGAATTAAGAAATGTACTGAATATCAGAACTTAGATGGCTGACATGCATTAAAAAAACAACTATGAACTTCTTGTTCAACGCTTTGTTCTTAATTTCAGCTTCTTGTTGATATTCATTGTCAAGTAGAGATTTTAATAAAATCAAACGTCTTCAGATACCATTATGATACGGTGCAAAGCTACCATACAGTTTACAAGCTGGATTTAAGACAGAATTTTTAGGGCATAGAAGCCTCAAGAATTTGCACAATGAAGCATTATTTCCTCCCCGCTTCTCCCAGAGGATCAAATACTAGACATTCCAATCATGTCATTAAAAAAAAAAAAATCACAAATTTCAGATAACACATGAAGCTATGCCCTAACTTTTCTTTATGTCATCAGAAATCAAGCCTGATGGTTTTATTACAATACATACAAGTCTTATCCTAAAGCATTAATCAGAAACTTATAGCAATATTTAAAATAATTTCAGTTCTGACATCCCCAAAAACACTGGTAGTTGCACGAGATGGATCATTTTAGAAGACAGCCCCATGAGTTGCTGCACACATGCCAAAGCTTGTTTACAAGGGACACTGAAGGCTGTCCTTCAAAGTAGGACACACAAAGAGAGGTGAAAAGGAGTCCTTACTTCTTGCCACTTTAGATCTTGTTCTTGCAACTGCTCTTTTATCTTTTGCAGCTCTTCGTAACGGATTTTGCGCAATGACTGCAGCTCCTCTGCACTGACATCATTCAAAGATTTACTCCTAGGAAGAAAAAACAACATGCAGCTTTATAACATCTTAGCCATCATTTATGCACGTGAAACCTTCAGAGAGGGAGAGATTTCTATTAGTAGAACTGAGTGCTCATGAGTGTTATTTCAAATAGAGCAGGAAACACATGGGCAGCTGAATGAGCAAGGCTGGGACATGCTCTAGTGTCAGCACTCAAGTCATTAGTTGCATATTTGAGCAAATGAAATCAGGTTAAGGGAATAAGCAGCTCCGTAGCAGATCCACACTGATCATTCACATTGAGCTCCTCGTATCCAGCTGCTACTTCTGGTTAAACTTATTATTTGTATTGATCTTGTTCCTTCCTTTGACACAAAAGGCATTCCCCCCTCCTCGAGTCCAAATTCCCATCCTTTGACTTCTCTCCTGTAAAAGCCCCATTATCACCTCCCATTCTTTCGTTTCTTAAGCTAATCATAAAATCAAATCAGTTACTGATTCATGTTTCCAAAGGATTAGAGTCATTCACTGCTAAATGCTCAGGTCATGCATCTCCCAGGCCCCACTAGCCTGCTATTCCTCCCCAAGCCTCTCTGATGTTTTCCATCCAAGCTGGGATGGCTAACACAGCCATCTTCTTACTGATGTCTTCAACATGGCTACAAGTTCTCCCATGAACTTCTGCTCATTAGTTCCCTTTAATCTAAATTCCTCAAAGCTCACCTTTCATGCTCCCTCCCCTGTCCCATGGTGTTTTTTCCTTTATTCTTTCACACTACATGTGATAAATGTAATAGGATATTTAATACAGTTATAGGACAAGATTCCTGGTCAGATTTGACCATAAGCCTCTGAGACACTAAACCAAATGCAGGTGTTTCATTGTAAGGTTCAATGCTGTAATACATAAAATGAAAGCTAGTTTTCTGGGGTTTGAGGTTTTGCTGTTTGATTTGCTGAGGGGGTTTTGTTTGTTTGTTTGTTTTCAAAAATACCTTTGTTTTAATTTATCTGAAGTATGAATGACGAGGGGTATAACCAAGTCCTATTAGGACTTGAAAACATGGTACTTCTCTGATATGATGGAAAATCAGATTGAAACCTAAACTGATTCAGCACAGAGCCTTGCTCTAATCTGTTACATTCCAACAGAGCTCTGAACTAACAAACCAGACTCTCACTTCCTCCCAAGAGGCCCAATTCACTTTTGCTGGTAACGTAAGACTTTGGACTTTGGCCTCTAGAAATAAAGACAAGGGCATTAACTCACTGTATCTGTTTGCTTGTCTATTTTCTGAATGGGGAGAGTGCCAAATTTAGCAAAAATCTCCTGGTCACTATTGCAGAAACTCTTGTACAATTCTTTTCCTCTTTTTTTATGCTTAAGTTACATAACATGAAGAAATGGTTTGGGGTAACCAAACTCTACATAAAAGTTGTATCAAATTTATTCCAGGTGAGTTCAAGAAAACTTATATAGCTACAGTTTCCACTTATTTCTCTTGAGTTATTTTATCTGCCTGCAACAAAATAAGAAAATCTAGACCTAAATACAATATATCCTAAGTACAGCTATATTCATACTAAGGAGCAGGATGTTAGTTTTAATTTCAGTCTAGATTTAAAAATCTAACTAGTGACTTGAGTCTTCTGAGTCTCCCTCCCCTAACATTTAACAATTTCTGAGATACTTCTTTCTTCTTCTGAAAGTGTTTAGTCATTTACCAGGTCTGCCTCAGGGTAGAAATAGAGAAGTAAACAAATAAATACATTTACATTACATTTACATTAAAAAAACCACCAAAAAAAATCAAAACAAAACTAAAACATCATCCATAAACAAATACCTAACATGCCATCACAAATTAAGTGGGAAAATTCTTTCTCTTTGACTCGCAGTATATCATAAACAACATCTAAGTTCATGTGACACTAACCAATAAGTTTACCATCGAGGATTCAAGAACCTGGAGGATATAAAATAACCACCGACTATTCACCAGACCTATGCTAAATATCATGTTGTTAATTATTTTCAAGTTCTAGGTGTACAGCTTTCAAATTAAAATATGTAATAATCTTCCTTTACATTTTTTAATGTTTTAAAGCCTAATTTAAATACAGAACATCAAATACTTCAGCAGAAAGAAAATACTGGAGCTGATTTTCAAAGTGCCTGATAACTATAACTTGGATACACTAGATGCCAGAGGGAACTTTTGTCATACACATAGCTTTTTGTCTCCTACATTTGTTACATAAATTGCAAAAGCCCAGAACAACAAAGCATCATCATGCACAAGTTGTTTTCAGCATGAGTTTTTAGCTACTGTGCATGCATAAAGATGTAAAGAGGAAAAAAAAGGCATAATGATCTTTCAAGCTTTCATAAAACTTACCCTTGCTCATCAGAAAGCTTTTGAAACAGTCTGAGAAATCAGAAACCAAAAAAAGAAAAGATTCAGTGACTTGATACTGAAAACATTCACACCATTAGTACACCAGCACTCTTACTAAGTGAGGGGAAAACTGAAAGCTTGGGAACCAGCCAGCATGGAATAGCACACTGGGAATCAGACACTAGTCAAAAAACACATCAGGACTTGCATGATATGCAAGTTGGGCAGAACTGACAGAACAAGGCTGCCTGAAAGTTTCCAACACTTCTGATTTAGCAATGCTGCACAAATAAAACCTGGTATTAATTCTGCACCACTTACTCCAATGCTGCTGAACAGCATGATGCTCAAAAGAGACTAATTTCAAGAAATTAAAATTAATGCCAATTTGAGTCCCAACAAGAAGTGTGGTTTACAGAGGCTGTCTTCTTGTTACTTCAACCATTTCTGATATTAAATGAAAGTAATACTTGGCTTGGACAAGAATAAAAGGCCTTATATAAACATTTAGCAAGTGAAGTCATGAATGCAATTAATCAGGGTAATTACAGAAGATTTTTAGTATTCTTAATTATATTTTATGATTACAGGTATTTTATTCTGTTGAATGAATTCTTAAAACGTGCAATATTTTCAAGCACTTCAAAAATATTCCTCAGTGAAGCTTGCACTTTGTTACAGTATTAAGCTTAAAAATTAAATGCAGCAACATCAAAAGTATCAACTGGAACACAGAAGTGTCTTAGTCACAAAGTAATGACGCATAGCTGGGAGAACTGCAACTTGCAATGCCGTATTTTCAGAGCTAAGGAAACATTTGAAACCCTACTCTCCCCCAGAAAGCAAAAAATTCAAAGGAGAGCTAGGAAGTAGTTAAGAAATAATTTTCAGTCAGACAAGAGAAATTTTGATGATATCAGGAAAGACTTAGTGGAAAGTATGAATCAGGACTGTATGAAAGTAGGTGGAAAATACTGGCAGAATAAAATATGTCACAGTGGAATTTAATATTACATAGGTGTACAACTTGCATGCACCATGAGTTCAGGCAGACAAAACACTAATATTTTCTTCACCTCATCTAATCATCTCAGAACTGTGGCAGAACAGTTTACAAGCATTTTCATACTTAGGTGCAAGCAAGAATATCAGAATGCCCATTTCCAGAATTTGTCATTAAAGAATTAATGTGTTTCAGAAATGTTTTCACCTATTACATTGCAAAATAAAAGAAAATATTTCTAGCCTCCATAGACTTTTGAATAATCACTATTCCTGTCCAACCTTGGAAAGAAACTTGTGTAGAACTTTAGCCTGATGGAATGATAACATATTTTCTCTATAGTGGCAGCCTAAAACTAGAAAACATTATATTTTTTGTGATGTTGAAAATATGGTATTGCAGTCACGGGCTTTTATTCAAAGCAAATAAAAAGCTTGTTCCAGGATGACACGAACAAACAGCAGATTGGCACTCTATGAATGGTTCAGCACAAGACGAGGCTTTTCTGAATGGAAAGGGTTCAATGGCACTCAAGCGCAACCTGTGCAGGACACAACCTGACCTCTCCACCATCTGCCGTTTCTTGTGTCTAACTTTGCTGGCCTCCCTGATCGCTTCCCACTTCTTCCAGTCTTCTTCACTGCATGGACCTGGGATAAAATTTACTGGCTGTGTGTTGCTTCCAACCTTCCAAGACTCAATCTTGCGGTTCAGCATGTCATCCCTCTTATGGTGGGAAGACGGCGACAGCACTCTGCCATCGCTCTTTCTTTCCTCCAGCGTCGTGTCTTTTTCAAGTAAACATAGAAATTTGGATCGGATCTCTTCTGGAAGACTCCAAGGATCAGGAAACAGTGCTGGGTGATACTTGTCAGGAGCACCCGACAAAGGCACCTCTTTTTTCTGAAAGAGGACTTTACGGAAAATCATGTCATCCTTTTCCAAATCTGGAATCACAGGTTGGCCCTCTCTGGGTTGCAGGATTATCTCACCCTCTAGGGGAGGGTCTTGATCAGAGGCTTTTTTTAAAAACCGAGGGTCTTGAAGAACAACTTGATTCACGTGGAAAGCCCCGGTTTTTCGAACGAACAAGTCATCATTTTCCAAATCTGGATATAGACACCCATTTTCCTCATCTCCTTGCTTGCATCCTGGTATAAAGGAAACATTCTTTCTACATTTTATGAGCCTAGGGCCAGAAGTGGGATCAATTTTGGTCTCCGTTTCAGAAGACACGTAGTCAGAGTATTTTTGCAGGGCCTGAAGCAACGAAAACTGACTGAAGCATATAAAACAAAAGGAGGGAAGTAAAAATATCATTAACCAGCAAGAGACAAGCAGATCGCAATGTATTGTGATATACATTTGGTTTAGACTTGCAGTATCCCAAGCAGTACAACTACACCACTTGTCATCCACCACCACGGACTGCAGCACAGCACAGGTCAACCAACACAAAGATATCACAGCATACTAACCTGCTCAGAAACATCACGTCTACATGCTCACATATACAAAGCCAGTAACCCTATGCAGCATGTTATACTTCCATATTTACGTGTTTCAGAAGACCAGCAACTTACAGCTACACTAAAAGAAAAAAAAAAACAAACCAAAACCACAACAGCAAAAGAGTAATAACCAAAAAAGCACAACATTATGGGACATCGTTTAATTTCATTTAGCTGTTGCACACCCAGCCATTTCTTTTTGATGCAGCAAGAGAACAGCTCATGCAGCAGTATCAACCTGGGCTGATCAGAAGACTCCATGATTTTTCCTTCTGCAATCTGTGACAACGAGCTTCTCACATATTCAGCAGATGGCTTATAGCTCTGATCCCTTCTGCAACTATTGTTCCAGTCAAAAATTGGTCTTGGTTGATTAGCAACAAAGGTACAGCTTTGTTTGTAAGCAAATTCCTCATCCTCAGAATCTGATTTCTTTCTACTGTACAGCAGCACAAAGAGTAAGCAGAGGGAAAGAAAAAAAATCATAAAGTGTATTCGTTGAATAAAATGCACAGTTGGCAAAAATGCAACAGTATAACAAAAAGAGTATTTCAATTATTTTCTGGAAAAAAAAAAAGAAAAAAAAGGAAAAAAAAGTAATAAAACTATCCTGCTGCTACAGTGGCAATGAAAATAAAAAATAAAAATAGAGTCATAGAACTACACTTTATTTATAGGCTTTGCACACAGGAGAGAAACAGGCATGCACAAAAACGCACCTGAACCCTTGAATCTCTTTATACCAGGGTTTAAAAGAGGATTTCTTGATTTTTTTCCATAGCAATTCTTCTTCAGGAGTCCAAAACTTAGGAAGAAATTTGTCAAAAGCAACAACTGTATTTGATGATGAAGAACTTAGTTTGCGAAAATAGAAATCATCTTTTTCAATGTTTGGGATGCCTACTTCTTCCTCGTCCTCATCAAAATACCCAGATAATCCTGAAGGATTGTTAACTCTTGGTTTGTTTTCCTCTTTAGTATCCAACTGCTTCTGCCTCCTGTGGTTACTGTTCAAAATATCCAATCAGTTAAGATATTTTAGGAGCAACTTGACATAAAGAAAGCAAAACGACATGCTTTTTGACTCAGGAGTTCAGCCTTGTCAATGAAGCGTATTAGTTCTCAATTCCATCACTGCAGCACCAGAAATAATAAGATATATTAAATAAAAAATAAAATTTAAAAAAAAGTTAAATGGTTATATCAGCATCCTATCTTTTCTGACAAAAATACAAAGTTTGACAGAAAAGGCATATCAAATTATCAGCTGTGTTAAAATGCCGATTAGAAGACTAACTTTACAGAGTTATTTATGGACTGCGATAGTTACTGGATCTTGGATTAGTATCTCTGACCTCAGTGGTTCAAGCATTGCAGCTAGTGGACCAGCTGGATAACTTTCTTGCGAGCAAGATTTAGGAGAGTCATTGCGCAACACGAAACGATGTCCAGGTGCAGCAGAGCTTACAGGGCTCTTTTTGACTAGAAATCTACGTTTTGCTAAGTCATCCAAAACAACGTCAGGCAGCCTTCTTTCATCTTCCGAATCAGACCCACTGTCATATTCATAGACCATCTGGAGGGAAGCTGGATTTGTGAGCCCACACTCTGCTCTGCTATTTTGGCAGGAAGCTATGGGATTTGTTTCACGTCCACTGAGGTTGACCAAAACAGGAATAGAATGAAAACAGTGAAGACACGAAGGCAAGGATGAAACCCAAGAACTGCCCACTAATCTCATCTGTATGCATCAAGAAGCCGGACAACTGAAATTCATCACCATATTTTGGAAAGGCTTTAGTGGGAAACTAAAACCGTAGGTCTATCTCTTGTGAACTTGCATTTAAGATCACTTAAATACCCTCTACCTGGAGTCTGATCAGCTTCAAAGCATTACTCAAACATCAAAAAAAACCCCAACCAAAACCAAAACTATCAACCACACAACCACACCAAAACATCCCCCTGGTTAAAATATGGAAAATCTAACACTTGACTTTCCATTGCAGCAACAGCAGCTGCAAATAATTTATTTAAAACAATTCTAAATCAAAGCCCACTTTGCTAAGACCACACACCAGTACCTTGAAAATGTTCCATCTGACTCGGTGAAGACAGGACTTGCCCAGCTCCTCCTGTTGTCCTCATTCTTCTCTGTTCTCTTCTTCCTTAATGGTGCTGGCACATAAGCTGACTGCTTGTTTTTATTGGGTAAGAAGCGATTGAAGTCAGTGGTAGGTTTTGGTTCAATCACAGAAATCCTGCGGTAAAACCTGTCATCTTTATGGGAGTTATGCATTTTGAAAGGCAGTTCTGAGTCTGTGTCACTGTCACAACCTTAGAAGAAAGGGGAGAAAAGGGAAAGCACAAACATTATTCTCTGGACACAAGCTTCTAGCTAGAGTTTGGATCAAAATCTTCTGAAATCAATTTAACTCCATATTTGAGATGTTTTGGCTGCAAATTTGCTGAGCTACTGACAGGACAGTAGGAGAGGTATTTTTAGAAGTTTGTGGCAAAGCTGTGATAAGATCCATTAAGCTCAATTTGGTTTGCATGACCCTGCTACATTTGTTCCATTCTTTCATTATCACATTCTTTCATTATCACAGGAAACAAAGTGCTAACCTCTAGACTGAAGACATAAAACAGCATATAAATTTTTAATTAAATAATATTTGCAGGGTAAATTTACTAACAAAAACAAGTTAACAGCAAATAGTACAGCAACATATTCGTCTCACTAGATTAATGCCCAGTAGAAGCCCAGGGTACATCATGTATTGAACATGGCTACATGTTGCTGTGCTCAGACCAGAAATGCTCCACGTGGCCTCTGCCCAGTGATTTAGTTTTATTCACATGAAACAAAATCCAAAAGCTCAAACTCTTTATAACTTTAGACTACAAGTTTGTATTGAACTTTAAAACGGCAGAGAAACACAGGTTAGAATACAGCTGTAGGGATTCAATGTCACAAACTGTCTTTTTGTTACTTTTATTTCCATGATATTTCCTATCAAAAGTAAAAAAATACTATTCAGTATTGAACATTGAACAATCACAAATGAAGTGAAAACATAGAAGTTTGGCATAAGCACCCTAGGAAGAAGGCAAGAGACTTTTGCAACTGGTGAATTTTAGGTGATGACATCAAGATTTCTATCAATCTGATTTCTACTAATTTTCCTTACTGAACCTTGCACACACACACCCCCTAATGCAGCAATGACAGCAAGAGTTCCAGTAGCCCTTCCTAGGAAGATTTGTGTGAGCAATGCTTTGTTTATACCAATTGTTAAATATATTTGCTTAAGCAAAATGCAACTGCAGCTGTTTCAAAACCAGAGCTGACTTTCAAGCCAATCTAAGTACTGGACATCCAAGTACTAGGTCCACACGTTGTCTTCTCCTACACTCATATGACACATGTCAACAAAAGATTTTAAAGATACAAACATACCTTCACTGCCACCTTTTAAGGTTATATCTGATGAAAAGCTTGTGGAGGATCTTGAACCAAGAGAGTCCAAGCTATCAAAGGAATCGTCTCTTTTATGGCTAGCTGAAGACGAAAAGGGCTCTCCCCGGTCAACGTACCAAATATCACCGTATCCACTATCCCTGCCACTTCTGTTCAGGTGGCTGGACTCTTCAAGTGCCTATGAGAGTAAGTTTTGAAAGGTCTTTTACAATAATTTAAGGTGCAAATGCCACTCATGAGTTTTAACTCAAAAATTTTTAAAATGCATTTTGAGTTCACAAAAAAACTTCAGCAAAGACTACTGTAAACCCCTAGAAACAACACATACAACAGCTTGGATAGGAGATTCAATACAAGGTCTTAAATTTCTCTTATCTCAGCCAAAGGGAATCAAAACTGGGCTCTTCACAATCTACCACATTAATCAGAGCAGGTGGATTCTGAAATTCATATGGGTAGCAGAAGAACCAATGTAAGCTAAAAATCATTCCTTTCACATGGACCTTGATAGCAAGCAAAAAAAAAATAAAATAAATTACTATGTTGTCCAAACTAATAATAAAATTAACCCCCCAAGAAACTGTTTAGAATTGATGCTGTAATGTATAACAAACTATAAAATTCAGGCTATGTGTTTAGTTCCTTTTTTGGATTCCTTACCTTAGTCAATGCTTGCCCTAATAACTTCTCAAATGCTTTAAGATTGAGGTATGGACCATTATAATGGGGATTACTTTGAGCTTTTCTCCCAAGCCAGTATAATGTAATCAAAACCTAAAACCAAATAAACAAACAAACAGAAAAAAACTAAATACAAACTTAATTATTTTCCTCTCTCACCACATACCAGTATAAAAGAATCTCAGCATGCTGATAGAGATGTTTCCACAATGAACTGTAACATCTTGTTTACAGTATTAGCTATGATTGCCACCAAAAACAATTAAAGAATGTTATGATGCATCTCATGTGTGTCAAGTAAGCCAATAAAAGTACTGTTTCCAATTATTACATTGATTTGGGCAAGTAAGCTGCATAGAGATCATCGTAACATGGCTCTGATTTGCATCAGATAAATGAACAGATGAAGCATAAAGTAAGCATGATAGTCCCATAAACAGAAGTGTTTAAAAATAATTAATCAAAATTAGTGTGAAATTGTTTCAGAAAATATTGAAGTAGATGTGTCTTACATTTTTCACTCTTCTGTTGGTTTCCTCCGGCCTGAAGCAGAGCAGGAAGTGAGAAAAAGAAAAGAAAATATTTTAAAAGAGTTGACTTAAAATGTAATCATTATTCAAGATTTAAAACGTGTCCATGATGATTGTCACGTTGCATTCAGACCTAGTCAACAGATGAAAATATTCAGGGTTGAACTGCAGACAGTGCCTGAACAACACTCCTGCCCACAGTGCCAGCAGTTATGGAAGGGCAAATGGCTCAAATACACAGAAAAAACTTTTCACTTGCCCCAGATATTAGTTTGGAGCTGGTTCAGCTGCAAGATTCACACACAGCATGGTGAAGGGGTCCAAACAAAAAAGTAAAGACTTCACGTACAGCAGCAGAAAGACCTATTCAGAGCCCCATAACATGACAGACCAACAAATGTAATAGGGCACCTCTCCTGCTCCTGTTTGTCTAGCAACAAGCCAGTCAAAGGTTACAGGAAAAGGTAAAATAAACCATTAAACCATAGGAGACCGTCACACATTAGTGAAGCGATGACAGGGCCTGGCCAGTGTAAGTGGTGCTCTTCATGGAAATGTAATATTCAATACAACGTGACAATCATCATGGACACAGACAGTCCCTCCTTCTCTTTCTTCCTAGTTTGAGAGCACTCACTCCCACCCTGTGTGGCTGTAATTGCCTTGCCCATCTCCACATCTTAAAGAAATCAGGCTACCAGGCACACGAAGCCCCGAGATGGATCTGACTTGCACAGTCCTTGTCTGCAGTTTCTTTAATATTACATACCAGAGATGCTTCTGGTTTTGTAGTCAGTGACTTCTTCCTCCCAGATAAGGAGGAACTCTTGTCCCTTAATCTTAAATATTTGCCCTTTTGTTTGAGGTTTTTTTTGGTTTGTTTTAATACCTTCCAAAACTTTTTTCACCTTCCATTCTTTTTTCACAGGAGACTATTTATGAAGAAAAAAAATATTTTCCTCTTCATTTTTTTCAGTAGGTTGACTTCTTTTCCAGTGTCCATGTTGCCAGACACACCATGGCTGTGACCTAAGGTGCTACTAGAGAAAGACTGATTTCCCAAGCAGAGGATGGAAAACTATTCTTGTGGTGGTGTGTATCAACATTCCACCTCTCATACTCAACGGAGAGCATTTTAAAGATTCACGTTCTTTCCCTTACAAATCTTTTGTTAGCAGAATTTCTGCCTTTGTTTACAATTATAAAAGCAGAGGCCATGTATGCCCTTGCTAAGGATGCCTTAAAGTTTGCTTCCAAACTTCAGCAGCCCAGGAAAGAGTGAGAAATTCTGCCCTTAGCCAGCTGAAGTCTGTGTCAAAAAGGCTGCAAACCTTCATGTAGACCAAAGCGAGGTGACTGAACATGATGATGTCCACATCTCCTTTCTTTGAGCTCGCTGGGATAATTTCAGTCAACCATTTTGCAACAGAGCAATATTCAGTTGACTTTATATTTCAATATATTTTCTATACTTGAATAACCATAAATACACTAGACCTGTGTACTTGGGCTATGAAGAACGCAAATATTAGGACATTCAGGTAAACCAGTCAGTACAGTTGAGGCCCAAAAGGCAGGCAGGGAGATCTTTCACACACTCAAATGACAGACCATGCTTTATTCACATGTTCGTTCTGCAACAACAGAAGCAAACTCACAAGTTGTTTACTCTTCATGTGCAAAGTTTCTTCCCTTGCATTACTACTCTCCTCCTCTGAACTACATCTATTGTTTTCTAAGCCTTTCCAGCAACTTGTCAGAATAGAGACAGTCTGAGCAGAAGAACAGAAGAGGTAGCCCACTTGCTGAAGTATCTTCACCAATGCAAATAAATGTCAATCCTACATTTGGCTACTGTGAAAGAAGTCTGCTTTTGGATGCTTTCATCCAAAATCATCACAGAGCCCAGTTGGTGCAAACCATCTTTATGAAAATATTCTGTGTAACCCAATTTCTGTCTTGAATAAGCAAATACCACTATGCTGAAAGTTACTAGCAGGCTGCTGCTTTGCTCAGAAAGGCACTGCCAAGGCTGCATCTTAAAGCTAATCTGCTCAAAGATGTCAGTACCTCTCCAAATGATGATGCAACAGTACTTTCTAAATCACTCTGTGTTTTTAAACACAAACTTCTCTATCTTCCCAGAGGTTTTTTATACCTCCTTTTACTAACTACACAACTTTGCTAAAGATGTCTGACCTAAGCAAGAAAGCTGCTAAAGAGAGGGGTTAAGATCTTGCTGGAAGAATTTTATTACAAATACTTCATCTCCTCCTGCCACAGTCTCAGCACTTAAGCATTTATTCTGAAGCTTAAAAGAAAACCAACACCAATATTCTGTGTTACCTAACCCCAATACCAAATTCCAGCTAACAAAGAGGTCTCAAAATTGTAAAGGCCACAAGATAACATGTAGGGAATAACCACACAAGTCCAAGTTGATCACCGATGAAAAAAGATGTGAAATCACCACCTGCAGAGAAATAATACCTTCTGTGTAAACCATATCATCTACGTCAATCCTTTAGCAAACAGAAAAGAGACAAATGGGACAGAAATAGCTCTCACTTGTCAGTATGTGATACGCTTAGAGACCAAATCCCATTGTTACATTTGAACACAACACATATTGACAAACATCACTTACTCCCAGCCAGCATGGACCGACAGATGTTTCTCTAACAAGGACCACTCCACAAGAATAAAGCAAAGTGACACGGCAGATCAGCACACTGAGCCACAGCTCAAGGCATTTATTCTCAGCTCCACTGTTTGCTCAAGGTTAAATAGTAGAATTAGTCACCAAGGCCCTAGCCTGACAATACAAAGGCTTTGGCAGCAGCTTGGTTTAAGGATTTCCTGATCTCCCTTTCCCTTCCAGCCGCTCCTATTTGCTGCCTCTGTGGTTATGCCAACACAGCTCTGAATCACACTACCATTCCATGCTGCCCATCGGGACCAGAGGGCTGCACCCACTTTTTTGTTTGGGTTTTTTCTAATACACGTTTTCAAACCCCAAATTAACTTGCTGGTCTGTTTTAGACCATGATCATACAAGCAACTGCACCAGCACCATGGCAGAGGCAACATGCTGCTGCAGAGGAGCAGGCAGGGGCCTGGTGGAGGAAGACTCTGCTCCACACACCAGAATTGTGAGAGTCCCCGTGTGACGACACCCCAGTCAGAGGTTCTTTGTGTTTCTAATTTCTGTGGAGTTAGCAAACCACACTAATTTAAGAAATCATCCTTACAAAAGAGCAGTGCATTTTAGGAAGCTGCATTTATTTCTGACTTATTTCAAAACTTTTAAACAGCAAACTCAATAGTCTGGATTTTATTTTTCTAACACATTGTATGGTTTCGTTCCCCCACATCCTAATGTATTAAATTCCAGCCACTAGAAACTCACAATGTCAAATTTATGTTGACATTTCACTTTATTATTTTCCAGGAAGAAAATGAATGTGGAGCTCAAGACCAAATCCAAGATACCCAGAACTCTGAGAAAAATTCTGGAAGATTATTTTACAGCATCCAATTCAGAGAATGTGGTTTTCTAAATGTCTGTTTCTTATATAGAAACACTTTTAAATATAGTTATTGAACAACAATTTAAAAAAAAAAAAAACAAAACAAAACCAACAAACAAACAAGTTTGAACAGAGTATCCTCCTCCCCTAAATGAGGGATAGCTGCCAAGAATATGTGTGGTCATGTCCAAAGAGATAAGACAAATCTGAAACCATTTACGGGAAGAAAGAAGGGACAGAGACACTCCCACTGACAGAAAGGAATGTGCCAGTGACAAATGCACCCTGCCCCATGCCAAACCCATCCCTTGGTGACAAATACTTCAGAAACCCCAACAGCTGCCAATCTGCTTTCTGTCCCTTTCTCTCTACTACAGATCTCACAAACACAGGACTTGAACAGGTTTCTGTTTAAAAAGAAGTACTGGTGCTCTCCCTTTGAACTTCCATCCACCAAGGTAGCAGTTACACCTCCAAGATGCCCTTTGAAGGACTTGGAAGAGCCATACCTGGCCTGGGAGTTGGAGCAGATCAGCACACTGAAGAAAGCCCACTCCCGAGCTCCTTGCCAAGGTCCAGGCTTCTGAGATTCTAAGGAATATGTAGTAGGACTTGAAGATTCTCCACCCCCACTGAGGTATACTGCACAGGAGGCAGACGCTGCCTGTCCAACCAGCAGCGGGCTTGTGCTAAATTTCAGCCTCTTTGGCCACCTACTCAACTGCTATTAATATTGCTGCTATCGGATTTCAATGAATTCCCACGTGCTGCTGAGAATAGAAAGGCTCCAGTGGAAGATGTGGGTGCTGCATGGGTAAAGAAACATGAGGACATTCCTCCAGCACTTGGATTCTCAGCAAATTGATATTCAACCCTGAGAGTCCCAATTCACTGCTGAAAACGCTGGAAATAAACCAGTCTGGCTATGACTGCAGAGCTCGAGAACAGCGTTTGGAAATGCACCTTTCTATTTGACTGTAAAAAGCACATGCATTTTCCATAGCAACACATCCACTGGACCCAATGCCACTCACATCATAACAGCACACAGAGTCAAGTATAAAATGACAGCAGAAAGCATTTCTCCATGCCCACCAAAAACCCCTGTCTGGCAGCAAAGAGGCCCATGGGCCCTGATGACCAAGCAGTCGGTCCCCACCCTGTGCCCTCGCCTACTAATGAAGGGCTGAGGGGTGGAGAAGAGATGCCCAAGAAGGGAAAGGCAGAGAGGGAACACAGCCAACACCCTCTGTGGGAATGCATCACCTCCCATCACTTCAGGGACTGTTCTCTCCTACTGCCTCTTGAGTATGGCACTTCCTTGCTGATCTCACCCATTATGCTTCCACACCATCTTTAAATCCCTTATCAAAACAAAAACAGGCACTTGTAGAAAAGTGCATCAACCCCAGCAAGTCACCAGACGATAACATTATCCATTTCCTCACACTCTTATCTGACCCCTCCCTGGGTGGTCCATCTC